AATTAATATTCAATAACTGTAATGACATAAATTCATTCAAGTTTGTCGTAAGCGATCATTAATTATATTAAAGCAAGGATTATCGCGCAATACTGGCGATAGGCGAAAGCTCTTAAAATCCGTAAGAGAAAGAGTTCTCAATCAAATAAATCAGGCAGTCGGCGGAGACAAGGGGTATTGCTGAGCGTCGCTGTACAATTAATCACAGTTCTCAGGTCGTTAAGTGTCTAAGGAGTTCGGATGTTTCGGAGACGAAAGGGGAGAGCGGGTGTGGCCCGCAGCGCCGCCCACAGCCGGATAATCCCTCCATTTACATAATTGCCGTATAAAAAGGAACGCTTCCCAATTTGCTAAATTACTTCAAACGACAATCTTCACGCGTAGCCGTGTACTCTGTAAAGTGCCACGTTGATGGGCACTAATATTAGCGCTTTATTGTTCTAATGAATATCACTTAAGTGCTTGTAAATTTCTTTAATAATTGAAATTGTTTGATTTTTATATTTGATTTCAATGTATGTTTTTAGTTTGATACTTACTACTTATAATCAATGTAGGTACTTACATCGCAGAACAGATAATGGAGCGTCATAATTTTTTATTTGATTGTTAAAAGAATCTGTTAAAAATATCTCCTAATTATCGAACTGTTTTTAATTGTAAGTATTTAAGACTATTAATTAATTAAAATCGTTTGAAATCGATTTCGAAAATTAAATGAATCCTCTAAAGAAAAAATATTAAAGTATTTCTTTCTCTTCGTTGCTTTGCAAACCTTCATAGTGAAGTATAGTTGAATTGGCAAGAAAATGTATGTTTTTGATTGCTTCGGGGCTATTGAAACATGCTCTGATAATTTTGATTACATGTGTTAGGAAAAAACCTTTATTCTGTGGAAAATAGCCTTGTATTTTATACAAAAATAATAATCTCGTTCAGTGCGAGGCGGGTGCAGCGATTGCTACGTCTGACAAAAGGTTGGTTTTATGAAAATAATGAAAACGGAAGATAATGCAGCTTTGTTTGTGATTTTTTTTTTACACGATCAAATGCCGTGTCCACAAATCTTCATCAGAATCATATAATTAACATACAGGTCTAAAATCCTGCTCCTTTTGTCGTATCTACTAAGAATTAATTATCACATGTAGACAGTGTGAGAAAACTAGTCTGAATAAAACATTGCCAATACATTTTCATCGTACGAGTATCTTTAAATTTCTTAGTTTTCCTGCATCTACCCGGCTATACAGTATCGTTGTGAGCGACATATCCCTAGAGAACTAGGGGGCCTGCCGGCTCATATGAAATGTTGATTTAAACTGCACTTTTATTTTGATTTGTTTTATTACATCACACATTTATAAATTGGACTTTTATTAAATGATATTTCTATGTTTATTTTTTACTAGCTTTTGCCCGAGGAACGGCCCGCGTTTATGTTGTTTTTGCGGTAAATAACTAGTCTATGTCCTTCCTCAAGAATCAAACTATCTCCATACTAAATTTCATCTAAATCGGTTTAGCGGTTTAAGCGTGAAGAGGTAACAGACAGACAGATACATTTTCGCAATTACAATATTAGTATTGGTTAGTATGGATTATGATTATGATTTAGACGCAGAATCGACAATCGTTTGCCATGGAAAGGGTGATCCGGCAAAAATCCAAGGTAATCGACATAGCCCACAGGGTCAGCAAGCTGCAGTGGCAGTTTAGTTTGGCTGGCCACATTAGCCACAGAACCGACAACCGATGGGATAAACGAATTCTTGAGTGGAGACCGCGTCTTGGCAAACGTAGTGTAGAACGAAAAGCCAGGTGGAATGACGATTTGCGCAAGATGGCTGGAAGGGGGTGGATGCGAGAAGCCCAAAATCGATCTAAGTGGCTTGCAATGGGAGAGGCCTATGTCCAGCTGTGACTGCGATAGGCATGATGGTGATGATGATAATTTAGACAATACCAATTCGTGTAAGTTTAGATTTGGAGACATTCATCCCAGGAACCTAGCTTTTGACAATTTTCCAATACAGATTTATCACGGTGTTCTTAGAATAAGGAGTGTTCTTAGCTATGTTTGATGAAAATCGGTCCAAGATGGCCGCCGCCACAAAATGGCGGCTTATATATTTTTTTCACAACCCTCAATATGGGTATCAAATGAAAGAGTTTGACTAATAGAGTACTATACACTATGACAAATTTCAAATCCAAGATGTGTGTCATGGGATTTTTAAATTTTTAATTTAATTTTTTAATATAACTGAATAATGTTAAAGATGCTAGACATTCAGCTATTACAGACTAGCCTATTTATTAAACATCAATTGTTCTATTTATCAAATTCTTTAGTATTATACATTTGATATGATAAAGAATTTATATATATTGTGGTAACGGATTAAGAATACAGAGTGTCACCACCCCTATTCATCCCGTGAGTGTCGTAACAGCCGACTAAGGTAGCAAACTACACAGAACAATTCAAAGAGAAGGAAAACTTAACAAACCCTATACCACCCCGTCTGGCCAGCATGGTATTGTAGGCCAAACCCTTCTTTTAAGGAGAGGCCTATGCCAGCAGGGGACTACTAAAGCCTGTTGATGTGAAAGGATTTATATATTTGGTATAATGGATGTACTTGGTGATGTTGTACAAGTTGTGATATGATCTCGAAGTTCGTCCATTAATGTAGGTATTTGTGTTCGAATAATTTGTAGTTGCGTTTAGGACATTATCAAAATCTGAAATATCTCCAAAAGACATCAATGTATCTATAGAACCCCTAAATTTAACATCGTTTTTCCATTTGGTCACTTAGGGAGTCCCAAGTCGGAGGGGGTATTTGGAATGCAAGGAATTATTGAATAAATGCCGAAATACTATTAACTGTTTTAATTTCAATAAGGGTGGTACTAATCTTAACATTTTCGAATTCAATATTCTTGTCTTTCAATTGAACCTCGCTAGTGTTAGTTAGATTTATATTTCATTTAATTTAGAGCACTACTCAAATCGACTTCAGATGGAAATTATAATCGTGATCTGAAATCGTAAAAATTATATAAGTAATTGATAATGATAACAATACAAATATTAACTTGCCACATCTCAAACAAGATCATTTGATCCTAAAAACTAAGGAGAGCCTTTTCTATGGTAACCAGCAGTGGCGGATTAACCCTAAGGCAACGTAGGCACGTGCCTAGGGACGCGAGGTTATAAAGGGGGCGCGCGCGCAGAATTTTTTAACATAAAAATCCTTTTGAAAAAAGTTGAACCGACTTCAAACAATACAAACAAAGCAAACAAAGCAAACCCCAATGAGACGGCGAGGTTTCGTAAGTAAACAAATAATTTTCTGAATCTATTCAGCCTACGAGTTACGCTCAGCTACGAGTAATCGGTGAACATATATAAAAAAAGATTCCGGCGAATTGAGAACCTCCTCCTTTATGGAAGTCGGTTAAAAAGAATTGTGTCAGTAAGTATGCACATACTTACATTGTTTATAAACAATCCCTTAATTCTACATATAGCGATGTTTAAGGTTGACATCTAGGATTTATATCAAGTAATTGCCACTACTTCTTTGCTTTCATTTTCTAATACCTACGAAGATTGAGGCTAGTGCGTGTACACAAAAATTCAGTTGCTACAACTGCAGCTGTAGTTGAGATTACTCTATAAGTTGTAATAATAGACCAGGGCTGTCCAGTTAATGGCACTATAAGGTACAACGGTGCGCGCATTAAAGGCACTTTATAGGCGGGAATGAATGGCTAAAAGCCGCTTACCGGTCCACGATGACGTGTTGTCGTTCCGGCTGGAGGCTCCACGTACTGGCTTTGGCGCCGTGGAGACGGTCCAGCCGTTCATCGCCTAGAGGGCAAGGTGGAAGCACGGGATCCTTTCCTTCCGACTGACGCAGGTCTTTGTTGGGCTCGTCTGCTTAGAGAGGTACCAGCAGTCGATGGCTAAGAGTGATTTAAGTTGCGCTTGTCACCACTGCAGTAAAGTTTGAACTCGGATAAGCCCACCCTGGTCAACGTAGCGTCGGGCGCTCATTGCAGTCATCAGAGAGGATTTGTCGTTACCAGCCGTTACACGCTCTATGGCTGGTGTGCCTTCCAGCTTTCAGTCTATTACAATGTACTCTGTGCTTCCAGCGCCCAATGCCGTCCTGAGTGTGGTCTCAGGTAGACGGGTTTTCCCCTCCATGGAGGATTGGCTCAGGAGATAACCTGTGTCTGATTCGCAAGGAACGTGGAAGCGTAGACACGGGGCTCCACACGCTGCTAGAATGCCCGGAGTGGCGTGGGTGGAGCAGAACCGTGGCCTCTTGATGGCCATCGGAGTGAGGATTCTCTAGCTCGGTACCATGATTGCGTCCATGGTACGGAGCGATGTCACGTAGAACTCCGCCACCTCCTTCTGCGAGCAAGTTATGCTCGAGAAGGAGAGGGTGGAGCGGGACCTGAAGAGGCTTAGAACTCTCCCGGTCCTCCAGGCCCGAGAACGAGCCAGGTACTGCAGTACAGGCGCTAAATTACTTCCATCCTGCATAAGTGCAGGCCTGGGGGTGAAAGGTGAGGCCATCTGTCACCAATAAAAAAGACCCGGACGTCCACATATAAGCTGATATTGGATCCCTCCTATATCAGGCGTAGGATGTGGGTTTTAGTCGTTTCGATTCCGATACACTGCCTCGCCGCAAATTCCACACGTAAAAAAATAAAAGTTCTGGTAAATAGATGATAACTAAAATTTGGAGTCTTCAATATCACACATTTAGTAACGTCATCTAGTAGCTATTAATAATACATTATGGGTGCTAGAAAAGCGCAAGGGGGGGGCGATAAGATGCTTGCCTAGGGCGCTCTTGAAACTTAATCCGCCTCTGGTAACCAGACTGCATATTATTGTTTCCACCTCCTGATCACCGTGTACACAGTAGGTATAAACACTAAATAAGTTGCTTTTTCTTGCATTGTAGATTTAACAGACAAATCGCCTAACGGTAGTAGTAACAATGGAGGCGGTAAGCAGCGGAGGTCGCGGACCAACTTCACCCTTGAGCAGCTCGGCGAGCTAGAGCGACTGTTTGACGAGACACATTACCCTGATGCCTTCATGAGGGAGGAGCTCAGCCAGAGACTTGGACTCAGTGAGGCTCGAGTACAGGTATTTGCAACATAGTTTTACTTGATACATTTCATATCTTCTAATCTACAAATGAGCTTGGATTTTTTTTTGTGACGTAAATGTTATATCGATGGATACGAGAGTCCAAAATCTTCAAGAATCGATTCCCGAGATGGACTACCTATCTGCACAAGTTTATACGGAAAATCACTTTCCGGTTTTTTAATATCGTTCCAAATTTCATAAATCCATAAAAATAAAAATAAATCGCAAAACTCAAGAATGGATCGACCAATCCAGCAATATTTTTTTTCAGTCATAGTAGAAGTAAAAATTAAAATTAAAACATGTCCTTTTCTTATTGGTGACAGGGTGGAACATCTGTCGTGGCAGCTAGTATAAAAATTAATGCTAATCGAGATAGATAAAGGTTACTTATGAGACAATTATGTCAAGAGAAGTTAACATTTTAGTGTTATAGACTGTAGGTAGTCTGTTATTACATCACTCCTACATGTGAATACTTTATTGGCTCGAGAACTCACTATAGAGTGCAAGGAGTAGACCTCAGTCGTATTCGGGAAGGACCTGAAATCACATGGTCTGGGTCGTCCCCAGAGTTGCACCCCTGAGGCCGGCCGTCGGGTTGGTTTTTAGTGGAAACTCCACATACTCCAGCTCCTGCATCCCCAAGGAGCCGGAGAGCCGAAGGGATTAAAAAAAAAATAGACCTTGGTCATGGTCACGGGCGTACTCCTTCCAAAACGGCCGACAACGCGTTTGTGACTCCTGAGTTGCAGACGTTCATGGGCGGCGATGGTCACTTTCCATCAGGTGACCCGTCTGCCCCCTCTAACTTAAAAAAAATGGCTCACTCAGTACTGATTGACGTTCGCCCCATTACGAGAGAAATAGCAGCGGTCAAATTTCAGTTGCTTTGAATGTTTTATTTCATTGTCCAGTGGAACTTGAACTGTCATTGGGTTTGTACCACGACAGTCAAAACATTTAATGGACCCCTATTGTATTAAGTAGCCATTGTTACATTTCTTTTTGCACTTCTGCTTCATGTGAACATTAAATACAAGGTAATGATATGCTGCCGTGCACCATATGTACCTAATAAGAATTTTCTTCACATTAATGTATAGATTACTACGAACTAAATGTTATTATTTAAAACTACTTCTACCATGTAACACTATTTCATGGAACTTATTGCATGTAACTCATATCAGTAATTCGTTTCATTTTAACATATTTTAAATTTCACGGATTCTTATTTTATATTATTGTACCCATCTAACAATGACTTTCTTTAAGCAATGTTTAGTGACGTATATGATTATAAATTATTTTGTGTATTAATAAATTCGATTCGCTGGTGCTGAGACCACATTGATAACGAAGACAATATCGGTAACACATTTAGACGGGTATATTATTAGACTAATTAGGACTATTAGGTCAATAGGTACATATGCAAAGATTTCATATTCATTTATTATATACAATAGTATATACAACCAAATCACGTATATCGATACTAAGTTATATTTAATGAGTTATAAACTTAACGTTTGTTTATTGTTGTCAAATAAGCGCTTGATTTTAGACCTTATAGTTAGAAATATTTATAAAAAGGAAGCAGTGTTTATTTTTTGTATTTAATGCGATGAAGTAGCGTTCATCTGGTATCGTAGTATCCAGTATCGATCCATATCATAGGGTATGTTTCATCCAAAAAAAACTAGAGATATGGAAAAATACGTATACCTACGATAGCAAACCAATTCAGTTAGAAAGAAACAACACAAATTTCAATCAACGCACACATAACACTCACGAATGATCACTTGCGATATTAATTAGCACCCAACTCTCTCATACCCTTGCTCGCTCAGTTGGGAAGCTCGACAGGCTCGACAGAATAGTCGACCCCTCATTACTAATGCAAGTAATTAGCTGCGAGTATCCAACAAGTGAGGCTTTATAGGCAATATATTACTATTAGCGTCCGATTGGCGTTAAGTGAGACTACGAGTCAAACTGTAGGGGAAAACTAAATAGAACAAAATCAGATAAAAGTCTTGACCCCTGCTACCGCCGTGCATCTTCACTAGTGTCAGACGACCTGTGCTTATAGGCCCTTATTGATATTTAGATGTTGTGATTTTCTTTTGTTGGATCGAATTGATTTGTCATCACATTTATTAATGGCTCGTGATAGATGTAAAAGACCCGTTTATAAACGTTTGAGGTGTATGTTTCTATTCTACATAATCTAATTATAAGAAATACCTACCTTTAAGAACAAAATAAAACCAACAGACTTTTAAAATGAAAAAATATAACCGTTAAATTATATTTATTACAAAAACGAAGTCTTATGAATTATAAGTAAATGCTTCACATTGGAAATAACAATTAAAGACACATTAAAGTAGTACCAGTACAATTAAGAAATACGCTATCAGGTAGCTTTTTGTAGTGTTCTTCTTTTGTTTAACAGTCACAGTGCAGGTCTAAGAGTCATACTGTAGGTGTTTATTACCTTACACATGTAGGTACAGGATATAAAAAGGTATATCTTTATGTATAAAGAAGTATATAATAATGGATAGAAGCAGGCGGTCACCGCACGCAGAGACCGATCAATCGCCAATACGAGTACACGCGTTCACTGCCATGGAAATTGTAAGTCGCCGAGAATATTAATCAGTATCAATAAGTTCATAATAAGTTAATGGATACGATCTGCTTATGTTAGAAAATGTCTGTATGCTAGCAAATGAACGACGGCAAACTACAGAATTACATGTAAGCTACAATATCGCTCCGTGGAGCGATACGGTGCGGAATTATCGATTTCAAGTCTTAGCATACGGTTCTGCATCCCTTAAGCCTTAAAATCCTTAGTGCCCTAGAAACTTTTATATAACTTAGATTCTCCGTCTCCAAAAATAGGGAGCAAGTTCTCAATTCATCATCATCATCAACAGCCTTTAATAGTCCACTGCTGGACATAAGCCTCTCCTTAGAAAGGAGGTTTTGGCCTACTATACCACGCTGGCCAGACGGGTTGGTATAGGGTTTGTGTCACGTTTTCCTTCTCTCTGCAGTGCTGTTGTCCTGCGTAGTTTTTTCACTTAGTCGGCTCTTACGACACCCACGGGATGAATAGGGGTGGTGACACTCTGTATTCTTAATCCGTCACCACACGGACAAGTTCTCAATTAGGTATGATTTTTTACGTTTGTGACCTACAAACTTCTGCCAGTAATGACTCTTTCTTTGATTGCGAGGGTGGGTACTGTCCTGGGTATCTCGAATACAGTTTATTAAAATTGATCATGATGTAGGTGATTATTTTTAGGACTTAATTATTTAAACTGAGGATAGTTTAACCTAACATACTTAATTATATTTTCTTACGTCGTATTCAGTCACAGGAATAAGATTAGTGTTATATATCATGAAGGAGAACAAGAGGGTTGTTTGCTCGACGTTTAATTTAATTGTTATGTGTATTCAGAACTAATGAATTCGCCGCTAGTTAATGAATCGGTCCACAGCTTTCGAAACATTATGTTATTACATCAGCAACGTGAACGTCAACACACTCTTGATGCATAAGTATTTACCAGGTGGGGTTCTGCCAGACCATTTCTAAAATGATTCTCAAGAATAAGTTATTTATGTATTTTTAATGAGGTGGGCAACCCCGGCCTACCCAACAAAAGACTGCCTTGCCTTTAGCTTTACAGAACTGGTCAATCGTCTAATATCTTAAACTTGTCTCTCTCAAATGTGAGGTCTTAATATTCAGGACACCAATAAACATCCGTGTTTCCATTAAAGGAACAACAGTATAATCAGTTCTTAACCGGCTTCAGAACTTTTGTTAATGTGAATCGTATTTAGTATTGTTGCTGGCAGATTGCCTGCAACATGCAATCAACAGCGTTCGTGCCGTCCTCGCTAATGTGGTTATCCGTGTTTGCCCGTCCCACTAGCATGCCTGCCCGGACATACCACCCTGTAACCTACACTGTACACACTCATTATATATATGTATGTATTTTAAAGTGTAGAGAGTTGGATAGAATTCAACGGAGTCTAATACTTATAAGTTTTGAATAGTGAACACATCACAAGCTACTTGACGAAGACTATTGTTTAGAAATTAAACTTACCTACTTAGACAATTTGCAAACTGGATGTTGTTCATATCACTAAATGACTTTGTGAAAATTGTGAAAAGTACTGACTTAAATAATCTATGGTCTCTTATAAGCATTGATGTGTTGCATTTCCAAGTTACATTTACGAGATTTAACGGCCAATACTCTGACTGCCGTTGTTCTGAATGTTCTGTCCGTATGATCGGATCGAATGCGCCTTGGTCAGAAAATACTGTCAGAGTTGTTACACGTGCCAGGTCTAGACTGATTATAGGAGGGGGGCACTAAACCCAAAGCCCTCCAGTCTTTGATTTGGTGCAATATTGCAACACCCCAGGAATGTTTGAAGTAGCAAGATTGAACTCGTTCAATGCCATCTCTCATAGTAGTCGAATCACTATGATCGTGGATCAAATTGGTATGGGTGACAAGTGATAGCATAAAAGGAACTAGAATTCAATTTGATTGATACTAAAGCTTTGCGATTGTTATATTTTTATGTTAGGGGGGGGCAGACGAGCAGACGGGTCAATAACCGAATACCAATACCGAATGGTCAGAATACCAATTCACCAAAAAAAAAGAAAAAAATTGGCCAATAATTAACAAAGTTCCTACCGAACTAGTTTGTGGTTGCCAGTTTATTCCTAGATATATTATAGTTTATATCCTTTTCCATAAATTGCCAGAAATATTTAGTTTTATATTTAGGTATATTTTTGACATAATATCGTCGTACTACTACAATGTCGCCGCACCATGATCCACCCCTGTTTGCGGCATCAATTATTAAAACAGGATTAAATGCAAATGTTACGTTATTTGCGATCTGTTTAGTAGACAATGTTTTCACATGGTCGGATAATCAAGATTAGGTCCTTTTAGTTTAGGGACACTGATTGTGCTACAAAGTAAGTAGGATCATAATAGATTCACCTAGTATACAGAAGCCGAGTGAAGGATTTTGTTTGAGGGTTAAATAAAGTCAAAACTGAATGTTTATATACCTAGACTTTGAGTACTATAGCCAGTGAATGTTGATACTGGACCCGCGGTAGGACTGTTTCGGTAGGACTGGACCCGCGGTTTTCACATAATTATACAATGTATGAAACATACTAACTGTTCAAAGATTTCACATTCCTTTAAACATAAAATTTACATAAAAATATGTTTCTCAAATACAAATGCATATAATTATATATGTTTCACAGGTTTGGTTTCAAAACCGAAGAGCAAAATGTCGCAAACATGAAAGTCAGATGCACAAAGGTGAGTACGTAAAGTTTTGTTTTGTAAAACCTCTTACAATATGAAAAAAATGATGCATTTATAATGTCAGTGCACCATCCATAAATTTGTATTCAAAATAGTTTCCCTGCTTAATGTAGATGAAAACTACAAATTACAAATGATTCTGGCAAACTGGCAGCGAGTTGGCAACACTAAATAATTGTAATGAGTGTACTCGTACGTATCATGCACTACATTACGATTCCAATGGAATACACTACTAGTTTTTACTGACAGAACAGAACTAACACATTATGTATTCTCCATGACTCCGTCTAATTCGATTACAACTCCCGCCGGCGCCGGTCCGACTCTAACAGTTTTTTAATTCGACCATAACTCACGCAGATGAATAATTAAAATGGCGGGCCAAGGCGGGAATCCGCGCGAACGCGGTAAAAAAGCCCGGGAAACGGTACACGCGAGACGATAAATTCAGGGAATTGCACAACGCACTTAGCGATCGACTGACTGACCTCCCTCACTGGTCAAGGAGGAGATAAATAAATAACTTAGAACTTGTTACACTTTGAACATGAATTCACTATTTACATTCACATTCTGAGTTCACTATCTTGAACTTAAAAAGAAACGGAAATTTAATAGACATTATGGCTTGGCTATTAATCTACAATGAACAAGAGGCTTTAGAGACAAAATGTTAGGATCAAAAGCAAGAATTTATATATTGTACTGGTAAGTACAAATTTTAAATTCAATAAAAATATAATTTATTTCTTGTAACACTATTTAAAAGAAAACAATATAGAGGTGTATAACACATTTTTACGGTTCAAAGCACACAAAAATTGCAGTTGCAAATGTAAACGTTTACTGCAAATAGGGCAATACATTTTCATTCAGAATCTTACTTGATTTAAATATTTCTTTGTAATTTCAATTCGCAAGTAAACATGAATCGATTTATAGTTAAAGAGTTGCGGGACAAGATATTAAGTACCTATCTAGACACCTACATGGAAGGCAATCAAGTTTTGAATCCGAATGTTACTACATTTTTTTTTTTTTTTTTTTTTATAAAACAACTCCCGCATTAGGAATAAATCCTGTGTCGCGGGGACTTCACAAACATACATGAAACGGACACAAAGAACACCCAGACTCAGAACAACAATTTGTGGATCACACAAAGTGTCGTCCCATGTGGGGTTTGAACCCACAACACTCGGCGTAGTAGGAAGCGGCGTGGCGACCGCTTAAACCACTACGCCATCCGTGCAGTCGATTCGTCGACATTATTATGCTTTCCAGGATTTATCAGATTTTATCAGAAAATATATCGTACCATTAATTAAACCCTGGGTAACCAGCTAACCTGACATAAAAAAAAACAAATGTAGCTATATGTTGCATAACCTCTTGCTATCCAAAGTGACGAAGACAAAGGTCCAAATAAGATATCCTCAGAGCTGACATTTAATTACCACAATTTGACATGTCCTACAACCCCAGTAACACTGTGCACGAAACAAAAATATCAATTTGCTTCATATTGTACACGTTTGAGGCTGGTGCTGTCTACTTTCATAATATCACACGAACAAACGAGACATGACTGCACTAGTCTTAGCGAAAATCTCTAACAGATAGTATGATTGCAAGAGCATTGAGGAACCGCTAAACGGAGCGTAAAGCGGAAAAAAGCCGCTCGCCGGAATCGAATAAAATGATTCCCCACGGGAGCCATTCGGACGCAATCCCGCCGTCCCCTGCTAAATGTCTTATTAACTTATGTGCCGTTCCCGCTCAGCTCACCTCACCCCCTCCGCCACCCTGGCCGACACGAGAATAATCATGTAAAGTGAAATGAAACGGTTATTTGTTATGTTATGCCCCTTTAACGGAGCGTCGAGATTCTCAATGTCGTTATTGATTTACGCAATCGTTTGTGGGCTCATATTACTGATTTAAACATTCATTTTAGGTAGTCAATCATTTTATTATAATGAATAATGTCTTTTTTTAAAGTTGATATTATAAAACCAATATGAAAAACAACAATGTTGTGTAAGAGCCATGTTATTACCAATCTAGCTGAATGCTTCATTAATTGTTCAAAATGAATCGTAATGCTCGTGGCGTTTTTTTTCTACTTTGCTGAGTAGATTCATAATTGCACACCTTACTTCTAAAGAAGGCAATTCGTTTGGCGATGGTTGAGCTTTTTTTTATTGGGGAAGACTACTATTGAATATCATTGCAGTTATTATTATGTAGTATTTTATAAAGCGAACTGTACCCTGCAACGCTTCGCTGTAGCACATAGTGATTACATTGATGACAAAACTAATGCGAAAAATAGTTAAAACAATCTTTGCAAGCAACTTTTATACAGGTTACTGGATAAGTCGACCTAGATTCTTTAAAGGATGGTAGTTGCCATAATTTCTGATGGATTTCACCATGAAATATCATATCCCAAACCTAATCATTTTCAAGATACTGGACTTTTAAGATTTTTTAAAACCGACAATACGCCTGATACAAGTTTTTATAGAACTTATAGCCTTTGTTTGTTTTTGCTATTATAAACCATCTACTTCGGCTCAGTTTGTTAAGTCAACTACATGTTGGGTAATGGAAATTATATTTTTTTTGTTAACCACACAAAAACGGTAAAGAAAGAAAAAATAAAGGTTATAAGTTTAAAAAAAATGTATTAGGCAAATTTCGGCACTGTTTATAAAAGTCTTAAAAGTCCAATATCTTGAAAATGGTTAGGTTTGGGATATCGTATTTCATAGTGAAATCTATTAGAAATGATGACAACTACAACCCCTTAAAAAAGTACTGGGTCTACCAATAGGGATGACCTGGTTTTGACAGCTCATAGCGGCCATGTTTGATGATGGATCTTTGACGTCTCTTGACATTTCTGTTCAGTAAGGTTTGCCATTTTATCATGTCACGTTTCACTTTAAACCAACGCTTGGAAATTGTCCAAAATTTCTTTGAAAGTGACGAAGGAAACCCTGTTACTGTGAATGGCGAGCGCTATAACTCGATGTTAACCGAATATTTCTTTCCGAAATTTGATGATATTGATGCAGACGACCTTTATTTTCAACAAGACGGTGCACCACCTCACATTACTCGAGTGAACATGGAATTATTGCGTGGAAAGTTTGGCGAATCTTTAATTTCGAGAAATGGACCGATCAGTTGGCCACCAAGATTGTGTGATTTAACACCTTTAGACTATTTTCTTTAGGGTTACGTTAAATCTAAAGTGTACAGCAATAATCCAGCTACAATTCGTGACCTAAAAACCAACATTCGACGAGCGACGAATTATTATTTAAAACATAAATTGCATAAAATTATCTATCAAATAAATCAATCGGATGCATTTTTCATAAAAAAAATTGCGGGACTCGTCACAACACGAAGTCTTGCCCACACGATAACATTCATTGTTCATACCATTGCCTTGTATTATGTTTATGACGAACGCAATAACACTAACAATAAAAACACAGCAAAACTTTTCTAAACACATATCTCACGAATAACAAAAATATTATTATTACGATAATTTGTCGTGATCTACAAGGACACAGAACAGCATAACACTTAGCGATTCGCGGTGGCTAAGGGCCGACTGGCCGACTGACTGTACTTACTGGATGAACTAATTAAAAACGCGTGTCCTTCATCCTGATAACGCAATCATCAACATATTACGAAATGATATACGAAACAGCAAATTACGAAAACAAAAATAAAATGTCGTGTTTCTAAACCACTGAATATTTTTTGTTCACATTTTGCAAATCGTCTAGAAATAAAGTGCAGAATATATATATATATAAGTAAGTTAAAGGTTTGTCAAAAGGAAAAAGAAACACGGTGTACATACATTACATACATACATATTGCATCTCTGAAATACTTATACACGTAAATCCATCCATACCATCACGTAAAACCGTGTAGGTATTCTTCTTTTTTGAGTGAATTTTTACACTGTCTGTGTTTTGAGGACCATATTTTTTGAGGAATTAGATTGTATTACGTATTTTGTCTCGTTCGTGACACTTGTTGTTAAGGTATCCTTAATCTGTAATTTCTTTAGCAATCATGTTAAATTATTACGAACATGGCACTTACGTATTTATAAATCTTACTACGAGTAGCATGTAATATGTTAATACCTTAACAATTTATTTGTTAAAAACATAATATCTTGTACATCACTTCCCATTAAATCATAAACAGTAGGCACTGAATCTTCATAAAAATTAAGAATTCATATTTAACGAAGACATGAATCTTCGCTGCTCGCAGCGCCGGCTATAAAAACAATCAGAGCAGCCGTGAAATTCAAGAATAAAAGAATATACCGAACCTTAATTGTTCCCCTGTTCATAAAATTGTAAAGTTATTCGCGCGTCGTGAGGGTGGCGATATTTTATTGCGCACAAACCGCTGTAAAGATGTTTGAAGCTGTTTAAAATAAGCGAGAGCGAGAGAGCACCCCACCGAGCGCCTGCTTACCTTCTAATTCGATTAAATTAAACAACTCCGAGTTAATCAAATAAATGCACGGTGGTCTTCGGCGGAGGGAGTCCGTGCTCCGCGCGTAGAGCTGGACGCGCACGCTCCGATATTTATGTCGGCACTTCTCGAAAGTAATTCGGTGTCAAATATGGAAATAACTCATACGCGTGGAGAACATCCGTTTTGATAATACCGACGGCGACCGTAGCGGTTGTGATTTACAGTGAGCGTGAGTGCCGCCCTCGCGCCTTGCCTTGCTTACTTCGTATCTTGCCATGTAAAGCTCCCTATTCATAAATGCTAAAAGTATATATAAAATCTGAAATGAACTATATACGTTAATATAATAACAACAAATCGAGAACTTTATAAAAAAATCAATATCGTTCAGTTTATTTCGCGAGTACTATGTTCAAATGTGTTTAAAGTTAATATTCTCTTGTATTTAAAAATATGAAGGAAACCTAGAGAACAACGAAATTAAATTAAACCAAGACACAAGGATGTATACGTAAAAATTAATAATATATTTTTATATTTAATTTAACGTGGCAATGCAGCAAGTTTGATGGGAATTTTTCCACCGTAAACGATTAGAGACGGGTTAATTTAATTAAAACCTTTTTTGTATAAATTTGGTCGTTGTCTGTGTCTGTAATATATTTTTTGTAAAGTGCATTATTTTATAAGTATGTAATGTTAATAATGTATATAATAAATAGCTTTATACATTTTTATATTTATTTATGAAAGCTGGCAAATATTTAAAAATAGGTGCTATTTTATTTTATACATTATAAAGTTACATCGCAGTTTGCTCACATTCCCGATAGTACAAAATGATTTAAAATCTTCAAATTATTTTTTAAGCTGATTTACAAGCGATGAAAATATCACGTGGGACACGTAGGTTCCATGACGTGATTAGGTATGTTACGTGACGAAACCCAACTAAAGACAATAAAAAACCGCCTAATTAAAAATCATCGCCTTGGTCTGGGCTATTATAATTTTTAAGAAATAATAAATTAGATGGATAGCTAAGGTGCTAAAGAAATCAATATAAAGTAGTCGACCACTGGATGTAAAAGCGAAGTAATAACTACAAATGTATTTGTCCTGTTATTGTATTTAGCATTGATGTAACTATGATCAACTGCTTTAAAATATATGCGCTCTATTAAAAAACACTTTAAGAAAGAATTCTTATTGCAAAGGGATATATAGAAATGTTGGGATTCGTTATTAAAACAACGTCTATTTTCATACAATCGAACGGCGAGGTCTTCTACGAGTATAACAGTAATTAAATTAATGAATCTTTGAGACGAGACCCAGGGAGCACCTTAAGTCGGGCAGATCCGCGTTAATTTATTAATTGGCCGCTTCGCCCGACGGGCGGGCTATAAACAACGGATCTCACTTAATTTACGAGCAAATTATGCTTTACTTAAATATCAATTTAATTAAGTGGAGTTCGGGAACAGATCTCTGTGGATTTGTGTAGAGTTGAGAGCGGCGTACTGGCTTCGCTCGTTTGTCTCTGCCAATCGCGACGGATCGATGCGAGCTGTCGGCGGCCGACAGATTAACTTGTTTCATTATGCATTACTTCTATATCCCTTTCAAGTGGAAAACGAAGTGGAATTTAAAAACTACTTTGTTAAAAAACATTGGGCCGCGGCGGTAGAGTATGAAAACTAATAAGCTTTTAAGCTTATTTTTCAGTTCCTTTATTAAGAGAAGGCAGTTAACTAAAGGCTAAAAAAGATTTTGTTAATGCGATCGATAAATGTACCAAGGTTAAAACCAATGAAACCAAGAAAACATTTCAAAGATTTTTAAAAAGACGATTTAAATCACGCCTAACTTAACATACAAACTTTTACTTTTTTTACACTTTTCCGTTTTTCTTTTCTTAGGACTGAGATGATGATGACGCTCGGTGTTATCGGGTTTCCCTGTGATCGTTTAGGGTTTTAAGAAGTCAGAACAGTTACTTACATTTACGTGTTGTGATAGTCTAGTTACTAACCCTGCTCATGGCACTAATGTTGCAATCACTAAACTTGCAATCACTTGCTTCGCATCCAACACTTGCGACACCAAGTACTGCAACATTAGGAAAACTTCGTTATTGCAACAAAGACTTGGGCTTAAGAATAATGCTGTTCACCACATACACAAATGATGAATATTATTTAATATTCTACTCTACTAACGGTGTACAAAATCGTGCTCATTTAAAAAGCTCGTCTCACTGTAATTTTTTTTACCAGGTCTGCTGGTAAGTGGAGGTGGTACACCACTGGAGCCGTGTCGTGTGGCACCATACGTGTCAGTTCCACGGCTGTCGGCAGTGCCACGTCCTCCTTCAACTGCGCCTCCGTTACCACCCATACCACATCCTCCACCTTCCACTGCCTTTGCGCCCTTCGACTCAGCGCTTCTTTCCGCTGCTGCTCATCAGGTAAACCATTATTATTTATTTCATTCTATTTCAGAACAGTTGGGTGAATGTTATGGCTGTGAGTTGGAACTTGTTGTGAAAAGTTACCTCTTTGTTCAGAGACTACGAACTGTACAAATATAAGTAACTAAAAATTACGAAAAATAATTATAATAGATAAAACATGTCTATGTAAATACATACATATTATTATACATATGTGTATTAATGATCCTTATGATCGAAACCCATCTATATCTAATCCTTTTCCAATAATTTAATTTATATAACTCTTGTACTTGTTTCTGATATTCCTACTTTCATCCTTAAAATTTAATTAAAAGAAAGTGAACAGTGGCGATTTTTTTTATTAGCAAGATTTTTTATTTAGAAATATAATCTGAAATGCCACGTTATAATTTAACCTACTTACTTACTTACTTAATAGGTTTTATTTAATGATTTTCCTAATAACTGTCCAAACTTTCTGTCCTTAAAAACCCTATTCGGACTGCGATTCACATGTGTCCGTATACCAACAAACAGTACTTATTTATTTTATTTCTTTTTAAATGAAAGAGGCAAAGAAATAAATTAAGAACATAAATAGATTTTAATTGTCAAATAAGTTTTGTAAACTTTTCCTGCAAATCTGTAACTCAAGAGTTATAATGTGATTTTCGAATAGATTATTTTTGTTACTTACTTATTGAAGACTTACAATTATTGAATCTTTTTAGACAAACCTGGAAAATTTGTTCTGAAATATTGAACACGGTACTCAAAACTTTTAGCAAGAATTAACTATTTTCATCCAAATGGAATGGTAAACTAAAACTGTTAGTAAGATAGAACATACTTAATGATAGAATATTTTTAAATTTAGTACGCAAGTGCAGCAGCAGCGGCAGCAGCGGCAGCTCTATGTCCACCATACGCGGGGCTTGCAGCCCTTGCAGCGAGATGTCGGTCCTCTTCCATCGCAGACCTTCGTCTGAAGGCACGGCGACACGCGGCCGCACTGGCCGCAGCACGCGCCTCGCCACCGCCACACGCACAAGTGTCCACACCCGCACCCGCCTCTACACCCGCTGACACATAGCCACCAGGATGACCGTTTCGCGTATCATTAATTCGTTCCACATAAGAAAACATTTTTTTTCACGCCTATTGTTCTATGGAGAGTTAGGGTATTTTTTTGATTTTGTCGTTTTAAAATGAAACATGTATAAACAGTAGATCGATTATTAGAGTTAAGTTTGAGTGAATTAAATTGAGCCTAAATAATTTCTGAACAAATTCTAAAAACATCCACGATTCCCAATTTAAAAAAAAAACTTATTCTCTCACTAAATCGTACCTACTTGGTACTCTTTTCACATGCCTATAGGTCATACGTAAAAATATATTCTACAGCTTATCAAGCATGTTATTATTATTTTTTAACTGAGATGAGCTGTGTTCCAATTTCTAAATAAAAGTCATTTTTTATATCTTCTAAATAAAACTATTGATAAAAAAATACTCAATGAATAGAAATAAGTTTAGTTATCATTTTTCCACGAAATGATACTGCAGATAATATTATTCTTAATAAAAAATTGTACTTTTGTTGAAAGGTCTATCGAAGTCCTTGTAGACCACATGTTCCTAATCATCTAAAAATAAATCAGTTAAATTTTGTTATGTGGGTGTTACCTATAGTATTAAATTTAAGCTAATGTTATTATACTCTGGCCAATGAAATAAAAATACACAGAACAAATAGGTTCAGGAATAAAAACAATAATACAAAAGCCACCATTTTCCATACTTCAAGATATTTTAGATATCCAGCAATGGCTTAACTATCATTGCGGTGACTGGTGAACCACGAGATCTCGCCAATTAACACCCCTACTTCTGGAAAATTGAAGTCGGTTACACCTTTATTAAAATGTTATAATTATTGAATGAGGAATTCCTACTGTGTTAACGTACAGTGAAGATATAATATCTTTATAGTTTAGAATTATTTTAAGTAACATGGAATTACTGTTTAAAGAGAAAAATACGTTTTTTATGGTCAGACTATAAATCCATACGTTTGTGTAATATCATCTCTGCTTGTATCAGGCCTGTACAGAACAGTATGTTAGATATTAATGACCAAACGAGTAAATTGGACTGTGAAATATTTGTAAATTAAAATAAGCTGTGATAAGTGCACGAATGTTGGAAAGGAAAGAGAATGATCTAAGCTTTATTTATTTTTATTTATTTTCTATTTAATGTTAATGATGTATTATAAAATTGTAAGTACGCCTGTTTGATACATTTGCGTCTAATGAATATTTAAAAACAGAAAAAAAGTTATATTTAGTTAGTAACGTAGGAATGATTTTTAACAACGTACCCGGTGACAGTTTCTCGTTTAAAAATGAAAATGTTTTTTTAAGCAAACGTTCTCATACTTTGGACTTTCTCTGCTGCTTAGGCACGATGAAATCAAAGGCGGCTTTTAATGTAAGCCGAACAATACTACAAACACATTCTAGTGACCCGTTTCAAAGCAAATTAGACGTATATGTATTAAAACTGATTTAATTATCTTCGTAAGTAAAGTACTCTACTTTCCGATCACATGCTAATGTAAATATAAATTAAACGATAAGGTAAAAGTAAGTGTTCGGTACGTAACAAATGCTCTGTTCATAGTTGTGTACTTAATTTAATAAATACTTTTAGATGACGGACATTTTATAGTTTCCTTTCGTCGCATATTTTCGACAATATCTAGCAAAGAATATAATTTTTTCATATTTCAACTAATAGCTATGTCTTTTACATCCTAAAACTCTATAAAATACCCCATTTATGAATGATTGAATCTGCATCATGTTGTTAAATCTACCGCTGAATACCACTCAATTCAATTCAATTCAATTCGTTTATTGCACTCCATAATGTATACACAGGTCTTATAAATGTAGAAAGAAACAATTATGAACCTAACGAAAAGCAAACATTCTATCATCATATTGAAGTGTAGTTTAGTAAATAAAACTAAGTAGGTATTTCTTTAATTTAGTAAATATTATATTATACTTAGTACATTATTATTATATATTGATTTGTTTTTAGAGTATATTATATGTTTTTAATATAAATTATTCAACTATTTTCTCATTATATATTATGTTAATTATTCAAATTTGTCGTTTAGAAATTCATTTATATGTATATAGTAGCATTTTTGTATTAAAAGATCTTTTTATTTTTTGATAAATGTATTAATTTTTTCTTCATTTTTAATATTATTGGATAATTGTTTGTATATTTTTATGGACATGACATAGGGGGTTGATGCATGCATTTGTAATCTGGACGATGGACAACAGACTAAATTTATTAGTCTGTTTTTGTGTCTTAATGTATAATGTGTATTTAAATCTTTTTTTCTGTTCTTTATAATCTGTGTGTTGTCTGACAAGTTCCCCCCTCAATCTCTCTTTGACAAACTCCGATAAACGAAGTCTAAAATTAATAAAATTCAACGTCATTAAGATACAAGAAGAAATTATTTTTTTTCCATTTGCTCAACAATTTCAGAATATGCTTCTCAATTTTCATCTATAAAGGTTTAGCCTTCATTGGTGCCCAAACCTGAAAAGACAATCCGTACCAAATTCCTAGTTTGGAAGATTTACGAGTAAAAAGTTAAAACGCGGCTATATTAGCACCAACACAACAGACAAGTTTGTATTATCAAATAAACATTTTAATACCAAATATCACTAAGCGAATACCGCAATTCAATGATACAGATGAGTTTGTGATTTGACAACGTTCATAAATCAGAGAAGGGATGAGTCGGGGTCGCGTCCCTAACGGCGAACGATATTGTTTCTACATTTTGTGGTTGATTGATGACAGTAGGTGTACTGGATGTGTGTGGTGTGGACTTTACAATCCTACCAAAGTCATGGGTTTATATAGTACTAAATTTAAAAGAAAGACTTCTAAACGTAACATCTGATTGCTGGCAACATATTTTGTTTTTGAAAATTAACTAATCTTTCAACTGGAATTATTTAAATCTTCGACAAGTGCTTGATTTAAATGATAATTATTTTAAGTGTGATCCACAAATTGTTGTTCTGAGTCTGGGTGTTCTTTGTGTCCGTTTCATATATGTTTGTAAAGTCCCCCGCGACACAGGAATGTCTTCTGCGGGAGTTGTCTTTTTAAAAAGAAAAAAAATAACAAGTAAGCAGTCGCTTAATAGTTATTTATTTATTTTTATATTTTTTTACCTTTTTGTACAATTGAAGATTACACCATTGCCTATATTAAATCAATCTATTCATGTTTTAACATAAAAAAATACTTTACTTTTTACATTCTTCTGTATCTTTTTATTAAACAGCCCGGCAGTGAAATTCAGCAGTAAACATTCCATACTCCAAGTGCTTTAAAAAAATTATCCTCAAGATTCTGTACTGCACTACGTTCTAAATTTGAATTTCGTAAATTCGAATATAGATAAACATCAGGGATCTCTCCAGTGCGAGTCGGTACCCAAGCTAGGGAACGTGTTTGCGCAAGCTGTTAAAAAAGCGCCTGGTGCTCCCGCCCTCGCATCGGGTGCGCCCAATTAGGGCGGCGACGCTGCTGATTGGGCGTAATCGTGTTAGTATCGGCGACAAACAGCCTGCCTGCACCCGCTCCGTCTCGACAACTCACCACCAGTTTACTATTGTATTTTGAATCAACATTATTAGGAAATTGCGATGTAAAGTTGACATGCACACATGGTAATTAGGACTATTCAAGATCCATATTGATGCACTATTGGCCCATTGATTGGCTTGGAGGACAATATTTTAACGTACTAAGTTATTTAAAGAATTTTAAAATTACACAAGTAACCATGGGGTCAAGATTCAGGAATTCTCATACTTTAAATTTCGATCTTGTCTTATATTAAGCATATTATCCACTAGAATTTGCGTGGTGGTCGGATTTGGATAGTTTTTAATGTCTTGGTTTTATTCAATAATGATGAACTTAAAACTTTCAGTGTGTAGGTTCTGCAGTTCTAACCCTGAACATTTAGTAAGTAGTCTGAATATGAAAAGCTTCCGTGCACCAGGTTTAACAAGAGGTACAAATATTTATTATTGGCTTACTTTTTATATCACAATCATATATATATTACGAAAAAAAAGTAAAGGTGTTATTGAAAAAGACAACTCTAGCACTAGGAATATATTCTGTGTCGCGGGGAACTTTACAAACATACATACAAAGGGACACAAAGAACATCCAGACTCAGAACAACAATTTGTGAATCACGCAAAATGTTGTCCCATGTGAGGATCGGACCCACAACACTCAGCACAGTAGGAAGCGGCGCGGTAACCGCTTAAACCACTGCGCCATCCGTGCAGTCAATGTCAAGTGCATGTATGTTATATTTATTATAGTAGCATAACAAACCTATGTACCTATTTACCTTTTTGAGACAAATAAACCTTATTGTTATTATTATTAATTATCATAACTGTTGAGGCGTGTCAACACTTGTACTTAAGTTTTCATCAGCTTCTTTTTACTTATAAGTACTTACTTGCTTTTTATCCCATAGGAGGTAGGGGTTAGGAACTAAGTTCTACTAGGTGCTCTGCTAAGAAATTCGTAAATGAAAAACCTAATAGGAAATTACCTGACGTAGGGTGGATTGCGGTGGAGTCAGTCGGTGGAGGCGAGGATAATGCGTTTAACTTTGGCGTTTGGCGAACAACAATCGAAGGACTGTAAGAACAACTGTTTAAGCGTAGATCATTTATTATATTGTCTAAATGGATTATAACACTGCACAACGACTAAAACAACGGCCCAACTTTATTGTTTGTGTGCGGCCAAATCAGGCATTTATTTTATGTTAGAGGGGGCAGACGAGCAGACGGGTCACATGATGGAAAGTGACTATCGCCACCCAGGAACGTCTGCAACTCAGGAGTCACAAACGCTCTTTTCTTGAAAGTTTGAAGATCGTATCGGTTCGGAAATACCGCAGACGATAACCCGTTCCACAGACTGGTTGTGCGGGGCAATAAGTGTCTCGAAAAGCGCACAGTAGTGGAGCGCCAACTGTCCAGGTGATGAGGATGAAAAAAAAATCCGTATGGAACGATGGCGGAAAGTTGCGGCTGGTATTAGTCCGAACAACTCCTCCGAGCACTCTCCATGATATATGCTATAGAGAATGCAGAGTGAAGCCACATCTCTGCGTAACGCATAGGAATTGAGCCGATCGGAGATGTTTGGTCTATCGACGATTCGAGTCGCTCTTCTTTGGATGCGGTCAAGAGGGAGAAGCTGGTACTGAGGTGCCCCTGCATAGAGATGAGAACAGTATTACGTATGTGGCCGGACTTGCGCCTTATAGAGCTGAAGGCGGTGGGCCGGAGTGAAATACTGCCTCGATCTGTTCAGCACACCGAGCTTCTTCGAGGTCAATTTGACCTTACCCTATTTGTGACCCCGAAACTGGACTTCGCTCGATATGTCGATGCCTAGGAACAACAATACAACACTACAATAACACAGCTAATACACAGGGACAGCAATAAAGAACTTAGTGGCTATTAGTTGGACACTTTTTTTTTAACTTAACGTAACCCAGCCGATGGCACTAGTGCACACCAGCGCTCCAAGCGCTGAAGCGCTTAATCTATATGTCATATTAAACAAAACAATCATTTACAATAAGAACTCTTCGAATCCGTCTGATAGCTCCAGAAATCATAAAGTTTTAGCAAACAAAAAACTATTGGATATGTTTATTTTATTAGTATAGATATAGCTTTTTGTCCATTTGTCTCTTTCTCTTCCCTTTGGCCCTGCAGTGTTCTCAACGTCATCCTGCTATCTCATTTGGAGTCTTCCTTTAGGTCTTTTTTCACCCCAAAAGATCAATTCCTTAAACGCTTTACCCCACTAGCCCACTACCTCCTCAGTCATGGCATTCTTTAAAAGAGATTATTAAATCACAGAGCAAAGAGTTTTGATCATTTATCTGTATTTTAAACGCAAAGAGCAAGAAACTCACGCACACCGATCTTATCTATGAAATAAGTGCCAGATTTGTTTATTGACTAACATATTGTTTTTTTTTTAAAGCACGTCGTACCATACAAACGCAGTAAAATAGCATATCACTAAATAACCCTGACCTAAACGATTATAATAACAATTTAATCGGATTACGGACTATATAATGGACTGACGATTCAAACGATAAAGCCAATACATATATAGGGTTTTAAGAGAACTTTGTCCAATATGGAACAACTACTGTGTTTCCTCACGTTTATTTCTGTGTTTGTTGACCTTGGAATTTGTAAGAGTAACGAAACATTTTTTTATTTCGCTTATGGCAGCAATTTATTATCCAAGAGAATACACATCAACAATCCGTCAGCGGTTTACTACAGTCCTGCAAAACTAGAGGTTAGTTGAAAATGTGTTTAAAATCAATTCATACACGAATTGATTTTAAACCTACCTACTTAATTGATTTTATAGCCTCAGGACGGTGGAAAATTAATTTCTTACGGAACAAAAGGATTTTCGTGATGAATAATTCATTATTTCCGCTGGGACTTAAAACCATAGATAAGCACTTAATCATAGATAAGTACTTGTCATCAATTATCCTTACATTTAAAATCCAACTAAACGTAGTGAAATTCATGTCTCAAAAGTTGAGTGTCTGTCTAACTTGACAATAAACATTGGAAGGTAGTACGCGGAGCAGAACTCGCAGGTTTTTTTTATGTTAGAGGGAGCAGACGAGCAGAAGGATCACTTGATGGAAAGTGACCATCGCCGCCCAAAACATTAACATTAACAGGCGGTTGAGTTTTCTCTCCTCAAACTATCTAACCTAATATTTATTTTAAACTAAATAAAAGAATTAATTCAATGAAATAAAATGTCTGTACTTCTATTATGAGTCTTTAGTTTTTGGTGAAATGTAGGCCACTTTATATGCTATTTAACTATACTAAGCGTCGATGTCGTCCAGGCCAATGACTCTCTTGTTTTTATAAAACACTAGCTGACCCGCGCAACTTCGTCTGCGTCTCTCAATAGTAATAAATTGTCTCCGTTTTTGAAACATTCTTCATTGGTGCTCCGCTCCTATTGGTCTTAGCGTGATGATATATAGCCTATAGCCTTCCTCGATAAATGGACTATCTAACACTGAAAGAATTTTTCAAATCGGACCAGTAGTTCCTGAGATTAGCGCGTTCAAACAAACAAACAAACAAACAAACTCTTCAGCTTTATAATATTAGTATAGATTATTGGTCCAGGCGATTTCAGGATAAGTATGTTGTAACGTAAATCGGTCTGATTTGTGTAATTGATTACCATCCATGAGTTAGTAAATAAAGGTATGAAAATGCTTTAAGCATATTACACGTTAGCATGTTGCGTACTATATTCTAAGATTAAAGTTTTTTTCAGAATCACAGGCTAGACTTCAATTTTTTCGTTGAGGCATGGAATGGCGCAGTTTCTACTATCGTCGAGGATGATACCGAAGAAGTTTGGGGTGTTTTATGGACACTAAACATTGACCAAATGAAATATTTAGATGAGTAAGAGTTTCATTAGTGTTACTTTTGTTCTTACACCTTCAAGTTCATACGGCGAAGATGTAAAGTATGGAAAACAGCAGTGATGATATCAAGATCACACCCATGTCTTTTTAAATATACTTATAGTTTAAGTTCTCATTTGAGAAATATGGGTGCTGTAAACGCCTATAAACTACAAATAGAGTTTACCAGCAGGCGAGTAATATTACAGGACAGTTTAAAATTTAAAAATCACATTAAAACATTTTTATACCGTGGTAAACCAGTTAAATATTAAGTATTTTTATAGCCACAACTTATTTTCTTCGATAATATATATTTATTTCTTGTGAAAAAAATATCTTCTTTTTACAAAAAATAAAACTACACTAACTTTGGTCGTACTTAGGTACGTATAGGTAGACCATTTTTACGCTGGCCATTAAACATCACCTAAGAGCTTTTTAGCCATAAGGTCTCATGACAATAAAAGTGGCCCTGGGTTAACAAAGAAATACATTTATTACGTAGGTACGGCAGGGCACCTTTGTACTATGTAGGTATCTCTGGTTTTAAACAAATTACTAGACGAACAATAATTGTCCTAAAATGCAATTCCAAATCGCATAGGTCAATGATTTTTATTTACTTGAGTTTTCAGCTCGGTTTATTTCTTAACTTTATCCAGATGAATTATAATGAAATTTCAAAAAATTGTTTTGGCTAAACTAATCATTTTAGTCACATGGGAGTTTTACTCTTGAGTTACTAAATACTTGGTATTATATGTTTTTGTAATAAAAAGGGAATGTCCGAAAAATAGGCCATAGTGCTTTTGCGTAATATCAAAAGTTGTGAAATCAATACTGAAATGATACTTATGTACTTTAAACATTAGTTGTGTTTAATTAAAATTCATGTTTTATATTCTTCATATGATTATTTACTTCGTATTTTATATTATATACATATATTTTGGGGTAAGTTAATGGCAGGCTTGTCAAGTGTAGTGTAGTGTTCATCATCATCATTATCATCAACAGCCGTTGATGATGATAATGAAGTCTTAAGTGAGTAGCAAAGCCCCTCAAGTGTAGCAAGTTACAATACGGGTAATTTTTCCTTAAACAAAGGTCGTAAATTCTGAGGTCTAAAATTCCAAATTTCAACTACATTTCATGAGTGACGCTCATGTGCATACAAACTACATTTTCCTACTTCCTACTCAGTTGCACAAATGTAAAATAAAACAAATATTAATGCTCTTGTTATTTCAGCCAAGAAGGTGTAACATTAGGCTGGTACTTCCCTAAAAATGTGACTGTAACGACACCTGATGGAAAGCAGATATTGGCTCGGACGTACCAGGAAACCATGACTCCTGAAAAGCTGAATAAATGCGAGGATTTACCAGTTGAAAGACGACCTTCGAGTACTTATCTAGAGGTAGATACTTAGAGCATACTGAAAGTTTCTGGAGTCTGATAAATAAGACTAGATATAAGACTTACGATACATTTATTTTTTTCAAAGTATATTGCCACGCAACGCATTTTTGCATTCGCTGAAACCACTGTACAAAGCAGTTGGACCAGTTTTCCTTAGGGACCTCTTCAATTGCTTCATGGAACGCATTCACCGCCGATTCAGGGCTACTAAAAAGTATGCATCTGAGTTTATTTTTAATTTTTGGGAACACTTCTAACGCAGGATACGTGGTCCGGACTGTAAGGCGGATGAGTGATCAGTTCCACAATTTAAACCTTCAAATAGGCTTCTTTTACCTTAGTGGAATGTGAGGATGCGTTATTGTAGGGAAAAAACTTTCGCGAACTTTTTAAAGACTCTGGGCAAGCAAGTGTTGACGTACCAATCTGCAGTCACTGTCCATTGATCTTCAAGCGATACTGTAGTGTAATGTCCTGATTTGCCGAAAAAAGAAGCAACCATTTTTTTTACCAATGCTTTGACTTTTCTTAATTTTCGTCGGCAAATCTTCAAAAGAAAAGACCCACTTTGGCGACAGGCTTTTTCGTTATGGTTCAAAGCAGTACACCCAGGCTTCGTCACTCGTTATGATATTAGGTCTTTACCTATGAAATTGCCGTTTTGTATGCAATAAGTGAAAGTACTTATTTTGAAGTAATCACCCATGCAATCGACGCATCTTTGCCAACGCATTGGCAGTTTATTGATGCCCTTCTTGTAAAAATCAGCTGGACGGGAGGCAACAAACTCTTCAAAGGTATTTTGTACTGCCTCTCGGGGATTGAATTTTTTACCCACTAAAAAGTTGTCTAAATTTTGGAAAAAGTAATAGTCGGTAGGTGCAAGGTCTGGTGAGTATGGCGGATGAGGGAGAGCTTCCAACCCCAGCTCTTGCAGCTTGGAGACTGTCTGTTGCGCAGTATGGGGTCGCGCGTTGTCTTGAAGGAGCAGTGGGGACGACCGATTGACCAAAGCTGGTTGCAGATGTGACCACATTAAAAATTAAAAATGTTGATAATTTTGTTTATAAATTATTATTTCAGCCAAGAAGAACCATCAATTGACATATTATAGATTAGGTTAGCAGTAGCAGTTTCACCAGAATTAATGATTAATGTGCCGCATATAAGGATCGTAAAGTGATGTTAGCCTAGATATTATTGACCAATGAATACCTTATGCAATACAATAAGATTTTTTAAATCCAGTTTTAACAAAAAATCTTTTGGCTTTACTATATTGGTACAGATATAATTATACTACATTTCATTTCCAGGTAATAGCACTCGGTGCTATAGAGTCGCATCTCCCAGCGGATTACATTGCATTTATCTTCTCATTCCCCAGCAACGCACAAATGGCTACCGCAAAAAGAAGAAATGAGCTAGGATATCCATTTTAAAATGTTAATAAATATATATTTATGTTTATTGAAAACGCAATATGTACCTTAATGTCTAAAAAGTATGCAACATAATATATTGATTATGGACGAAAATAATTCTTTTATCCCTTTTTCCCATATATTATTTTGAGAATGGAAAATCCGTAAACGAATTGCTTACCTACTAAGGAGATGATTAAAAATGTAAAATATGGAATATATTTTACTTTACAATACTGCTTATGCTAAAGTGCTTAGGTATCTACTGTAATTTTTGCAAAAGCTAGTTACTCCGTAAGTAGTTAAGAGTATAGTTTTGATTGTTAAACCTTTATTGTTTGACTCTGCTCAAGAGCTTTACTAACCGTGTTACCCATAAAATTTTATAAAACCTACTTATACGTTTAAATATTATAATATAATTTACTAACTAATAGGACAAATTGAAAGTCCAGCGGTTTAGGTACTAGTACATTAAAAGAGTTGTAGTATCACCCTCACACACTGTAACGCAAGCACACCTGCCCCCAAATCTCAAAACGAGAGTTCGTGCGCCACCGCTGACGCCATCGTACGGTATAGCTCTAACCTCATTATCCCTCTAACGTCTCGGATCTCATACATGAAGGTACGCTCCTCTAAATAGTCTGCCACTAATCGCCGCGGAAACTAGCAATCCGTTATGTTGGAGTGTAATCCGTAGGTGACCTCAGTGATATCAAAGTTCCCCGCCTAATAAACAAAACCAGAAAATTTGCCACTATTCACCTCTAACCATTCATCATCATCCGAACTACCTACCCAATAAATGCAATGAAGGCAATTAGAATTAGGTTGAAATTTAAGTTGGTTACTTGTAATATATTAATATTTCAGACCTACCATTCACCAATACTATACCACTAGTATTTTTACTAGGGTAAAATCGAGAAATTAGTAGGTTTGGAGATGGTGTGGCGGTCGATACAAGTCAGTTCTACGATAGTTCGGTGTGTTGGCCAAATGATCGCAATCGAAGTTCTTTCCGCCATTTCAGTTTTTTAAAGGTATTTTAGAGTGTATGATGAGATGTTGGCAATATTGATTGAGATTGTCAACATAGTAGCTTACATGACAGCTGTCATATTATAAAATACGATGTTTTGGTATACAGTTAATAGTGATTTAATCTTAATAAGATAAATAATAATATGGTTAATAATGAAATTTGAACACCAGGATTGTAATTATTTAAGATATTATTATTATCATTATTAATAATAAGGGTAACATAATTAATCTTAGCCAAAAATATTATAATAACTACAACAAGATTTGTCTCATACTTTCATCATTAATTGTTTACTACAGAAATAAGTACATTTAAATGAGGATTATTGAGAGATGAAGCATGTCGATGAACTGTATTTTTGCGTTTTCATTATTTTTATTGTTGCTAGTGGCTCTCAACATATATTTTTTTTACATGCTAAGCACTGAACATAAACCTACCAGCTTTAACCTGCCTTTAATTAAATCTAACCCTAGACCATCAGTAATTAGAGAAATAAATGATCAATTAAATCAATTACCTAGTCAGTTCTATTACAAAAATTCCAAATTCACAGCTGTTCAAAACAATTTGATCAGTTTGTTCAATTCTTCGAGCACTAATATTGAAAGTATTTGGCACACTATTGAAAATGTGAGTACCAGGTTTCAGCAACTTTTTTTTACCATTACGACTAAAGGACATTCACCATTAAGTGTGTTCACACTAAATATTTTATTGACTATTATTATTCATAAAATCATTTCAGTGGGCTGACAATGAGTCTTTATTTCCATACAAAAATGGGTCTTCAGGTCAAATACTGCAAGCACTTCGAACTGCAAAGATAAAGTTAGTTGACAATGCTCCAAAGGGAACACAATTAAAATTGTTTATTGCTTTGGAGGTATGTACTGTGTGTTTTTATAGATCTCATTGTCAAAAGTATCATCATATACTGATGCAACTGTCAGGGCTCAGGGGCTTAACTTGCCATGATCACTCTGCAAGGTGCAAACAACGGTAACAAATAGGGTTACTTGGATTATTTGGAAAGCCAGGAGGGCTAGGATTGTTTTTTCACTTTCTACTGATGCAAAATACATGTCTTGATATTTAGTTTGTTTACCAAGGTTAGTTCTAATCTCCAATCTATACTATGTGCTATGCTTCAGCACACAAGGCCTGGGCTGGCTTGACTTGTATTACATGTCTACTAATATGTTACTTACAGCAAATAACCTTACTCCCTTTATCACATGAGGCATGGCTCATATATAATTAAAAAATGAGATAAAATCCCTTGGAAATATGCTTTATTTTGACATTTTTAGTGGTAAAAAATTGGCCTAGGGAGAAAGCAAAAAATGATTTGTGGGCTTAGGCTGAACTAAGTAAAAAGTCTGAGTCAAATTTCTTAAACAGATTAAATGCCACAGGAGGAATTGTCAGTATACTCATATCAGTTGAAAATATTATAGCTTTCTTTGTAAAAATAATTGTAAGTAATAAAATATGTTACATTACAGGGTGAGCAAAAACTTTACTTCAAACCAAAGAGGTATAATTTAACTGATATGATAAAAGGCAATGTTTATGCTGGATTTGACAGACATAATTCTGAAGTACTGACATATTACCTGGCGATGGTATTGAATTATAAATGGATAGCTCCATCAGTTATAAGACGGATTCATTTTTATAAGGATATATTGCCACATGCCACTGCTGGCTTAAGTCAGACTATGACAAAAAGTGGTAATATTCTTTATTGTTATAAGATTTACTATTAACATAAAATAAGTTTATAATTTAATAGTTATTATAAGTGTATGTTATAGACAAAAGACGAGCCTATTGGTCTAGTGGTTAGTGACTGCTAAGCCAGAGGTTGTGGGTTCAATTCCCACCCAGGACAAATATTTGTGTTATGAGCACAATTGTTTGTTCTGCGTCTGGGTGTAATTTATCCATAATATTTATGTAATTAGAAATATATAAGTATGTTTATCAGCAGTCTGGTTATCATTGCACAGGCTCCGCCTAGTTTGGAATCGGACTGGCATGTGTGAGATATGCGAGGTTTATTATTATTATTATTAAAAAAAAAATGAAATAATATGTGATCCATTATGAGTATGTATTCCAATGAGTGTGACAGTCACTTATTTGTGGGATTTCTGTGTAGTAAGTATGTTACGTTTATCATTACACAAGATTATTTTTTTCTGGGACTTGACTTAATAATATTCTATGTCCTCGAGATGGGGCAGAGGACGTCCACAGTAATCCAACCATTCGGTCCTGAGCTTCGCACTTGACCTCACTCCACGTCTTGCCGATTCTCTTCACTTCATCTGTGACAGTGCCACGCTTACGTATTCCTTGCGGGTTCCAATCCAGCGCCTGTTTAGCGATATAATCGGGGTTCCTACGCTGAGTGTGGCCAATCCAGTTCCACTTGCAGTGCTTGATCTGATGTTCGATCTGAGATTCGTGGCAGCGTTCCAACAGTTCTTAATTGGAGATATTCTCGAGCCAGTATATGCCAAGGCAACGGTTAACGAAGACCTGGAAACGTCGCGAGATGACTTTTGTGACCTTCCACGTTTTGCACTCATACGGAATTGACGTTGGACCCGAATACCTAGATTTTAATCCTTTGAGTCAGTATTCGTGACTACCACACGGGCCGAAATTGTGCGAGTTTTGGCAATGCGTGAGGTCATGTCCTCCTCAGTACCCCCATTTCCGATACGACGCTTCCGAGGTCATGCCAAAGGTCATTGTCGAATGATCGTTCCGGTTCCTTACTGTATTCTTTTCTTTAATCAGGTGAGTGCTTGATTTTTATATTTGGGTATCTTCCCTAGTGATAAGAGTCTGTTTTGCGGCACGGAATCACCACTCTGCGCCTCAAGTGGTAGGAGAATATCTTTTATTTAGACATCCAGACCATCCCGACCAACCTAAGCTGAACATAACTTGTACAATTAGTTCTAGAAAATGGTTAAACACACACAAATAGCCTCACATTTCACAATCGATGAAATTATTCATGTGTCTTTCAGAGAAAGGATCAACATGTATTTATGGCAAATGTTACTATTGTAAAGCAAATGACACTGTATGCCCCAACAGTAAGGGTGAAATTGAAGGCGCCGCTATATTGTACTTAGATAAGCGGTTTCAGATGCACAAGTCTCCATGGAGGAGATCATACAGTAAAAAGAAAATGGGGTGGGAAACTGATAATGATTTTTGTAAGTAAGTACATCTATCAGATAATTGTGATGTAACATATTTACATAATTTTATTCGTTAAACGTGATTACTGCTTTTTAAAACAGTAGTGACCTCACTACTGCTTTGAAATCAAAAGTAACGTTTTAGATTATTTATTTTGTTATAACACCCCTACTTGACGATTTCGTCATTGTACTGCTGATCGGAGGAAGACGTGGAGATCCAGTGAGACTAATCCCTTGGCCTATTTTGCCAAAAAAGGGATGCCAATAAAAATTTAGAGGCGATGTTTACGAGGCACTGCGGGAGTTTTCTAGCTCACGAAACTATTTTGTTGCTTAACTAATTAAAACTCCTAAAATATATACAATGACCAACATTTTTAGAATACAAACACTCGACTTATGACCTTTTCTTGAATAAATAAGTATTAAGAATTTGATTTCATTTCAAACATTAAGTTCTATGCGTTTTATTTGAAGTAAATTTTCTGAACATTTAAATTACCTACTGTTTACTTACTACATATTCTTCATTGGTATAAAATGACTATCCGTTTTCATCCATTGTCGGTATAATCAACTAAGGAGAGAGCTTAGGCCTCCGTTAATTCCTGATTATGATTATATGTTCAATTGTTTACAGAAAAGTAACCCTTACGTTGAACACCAAAAGAATACTTAATCTAATAGATATATCTATAATAGATTTCTTAGTACAAAATGGTGATAGACACCGTTACGAAGTGTACAAGGGTCAAGTGCTTCTGATGGATAATGGTAAAGGACTTGGGAATCCAATGGCCGATGAAATGGATATTCTAGCACCGTTGTATCAATGTTGCATGTAAGACATATTTATATTGTGACACTTGTGTCCTTTTTAATATAAAAAAGCTAAGTACCTACTTTGGTTAAGTGAATATTAAATAGTGATCGGTTTGATAAAATATCATAAGTATTTGACGACCCTGTGACATAGACTATATTGCAACCTAATGTGATTTATTTCATATCAACTCGCTCTCGACGGCGAGTGCAAGTGTTGCGATTGGTGAAGAATTCAGTCAGGGCCAATAGCAACGCAATTACCGTGACGATCGAGTCCATGTGAAATAAACTTACATTAGTCCTTCTGGTCACACCATCCCGGGATATGGCCTAGTTAGGCGTTGTGTCGATTCGGGGAGGCCTTGAAATCACATTTCAGGCCCTTCACAAAGTAGGTCTGAGGCTGACTGTCGGCATGGTTTTTAGTGGAAACACCACACACTCCTGACCCCTCCATCCTCAAGGAGACGGAGATCTATAGGCCCTCTGTTTCACGCCGCTGTTTAACTTGACATTCCTAAAATGTACATAAGTATACTCTTACTACTCTTTAAGTTAAGTCACACAAACATTTAATGTAAAAGTAGTCAGTATTTATTTTCTCAAAAGATCTAGCAGCACTTTTGTATTGTCTTTTCACATTGTAGATTGTCTCATTCGACATGGCAAACATTGGAGTCAGTTTCTGGCGGTAGCCTAACGGAAACAATAAAACTATTATCGTCTTTCCATGGAGAGCAGCTTGCTACTGAAGACCACTACAGAGCTATTGAACGTCGTCTACTGAAAGTATATGCTACAGTACAATACTGTATTGAAAAATATGGCAGTGCCAAAGTTTTTAAAAATAAACGTTAAAATAAAAGTTTGGTTTTCATTGATCCACGACGAACTACAAACTCTTTTATAAGACATTTAACAGATGTAGTCAATTGATGCAATTATTAGCTTCCTATTCTGGTTACACTGCGTGATCAAGCCCCTTTTTTTCTGTGCGAACTCCCCTCGGATATAATCACCCACCAGTAGGTGAAGATTATATAGAAGCCGAACACGCTCGTCAATAGGCAACTCCAGACTTAGGTATAGCAAAACATTAGCCAGAATTAACAAGCTGAAGGCCAATTCTCGTAATAAAAGTTCGGTCACAATTCAGTTCCGATCAACTTTCGATTTCACAACTGTCATAAAAGGTATTTTCGTAGTAAAATAGTAAAGTATTACTAAGACTAGCAGATTACCGACTCGATTTTTGTTGATACAGTTGTGTGACGACAGTTGTGAGATCGAAAATTGATCGGAACTGAATTGAGACCGAACTTTTATTACGAGAATTATTCTTCAGATATCCTCTTAAAATGGCGCATTCGTCACAATAATACGATATTCTAATGCAATATGTAAGTAAGATAATATGAAAGTGAGCTCGGGTAAAACTGTTCAGCTAGTCAGTGTCGTAGAAACACTTGAATTGATTGGCAAATCATAACAGCGTGAGCGAAGACAATACCAAACGTCAGTTTTACAATATATGAAATACGTAGGTATTTTGCATACCCGACTACTTTAAAGTTAACGCATTTAGCACAAGAAGAGAAAACTAGTAATTCAATAATAATCTTGTTCATTTTAGACTTCATCCCGGTGTCGTCACCATAACTATACTTACAACAAAAACAAGACTAAATTAGATGCTAACTTGTTTATTGACAGAAATACATGGTAAACTATAAAGCTTATAGTTCTTTTGAAGATGGAACAATATAAAAATGTTATGTCCTTCAGAAAGAAAATAAAAACATATATACGGAGAAAAGAAGTCTCGAAAATTTAGCAAAAAATAACAATATTTTGCCGAATACTTCAACATCTGTGTTTGAAAAATTACTAAACGTGAAATATGTATACCCTTGTGAATATGGATTTTTAAAATATTCCAAAAGCGGTTTTAAAATTTGTAATTTAGACTAAGTTTTTTAATAATCATCACTCAGTACGGCATGAGGCCTTGGAATACGCACCTTTGCTACCCGGTTCGCCGGCGACGAATTAGGTCCGAGTAAAAATCTTCCTCCCAGGCCTCTCCGCCGCCGCCGCCTCCTTCCGCTCGATGACATATTCGCAGGAGGATGCGACAGCGATGAAACATCTGAGAGAGACTCTCTCTAATGACTGCAAAGAGGACCCGACGCTCCGACGCCCAAGCTGATTAGCACACCGTATGGTTTTAGTCGGTTCAATTCCGAAGCACTTACCCCGTCGCTAATCCCTGTAGGATGACGGCCCAAAAGGGTTTCCACACGTTAAAAAAAAAGGGTATTGAATTGAGGGTCCGGATGTCTTAATAACAACTGTTCCCGAATCCCTCTTATTTCAGGTACAGAGTAGCACACCGTATGGTTTTAGTTGGTTCAATTCCGACACACCAGCCCGCCGCAAATCCCGGTGTGACGGCTCAAAGGGGTTTCCACGTGTAAAAAAAAGAGTATTGAATTGCAGGGGTTTAAAACATTTGAACAATAAATAGCAACACAATAGAATTCACTCTGCGAGAAGGTAAGCATTCCTGATTTAATATGCTTATGTTAATTTGCTCATTAGCATCTACTGGCCTTATCTATATTTTTCTATACCCATTGCAATTGCAATGTTAAAAGTTTGTTGGTTGGTTGCATTAGTACGTTAATTGTCATACCTATATGGAATTAATTTCAATGATTACCAGTCTGATTACTCCAACAAGTAGTACATCGTTAGTAGGGCCCTTCGTAAAATACATAAATATTAGCACATATCGAGTGCAAATAGAAAAGCCACGTCGTGAGGGTAAAAAGGAGTAGATGGATAGAAAAAAAGTGACAAAAAAAATTATATTGGTCAATTACAAATTAAATAAATTTATTATTTTTGTCTTTTGACATTTGAATTTTTCATTACATATTTCTGATTCAGACCTAGCAATATCGGGCGATTGAACAAATGAGATTGATTGATTCAAAACATGACGGTCTTTTTCAACTCAATAAGAGTTTTATATTACTCAGAGCGTTATATTTACCTTCAAAAATATTACATACTTCAATACGCCTAAATCATTTAAATTTGATTTTTAAGTTTCCACTTTTAAAGTTCAACAAACAAGTAGGTAAATAAGTAATTATAAAATAAAACATTTAAAATGCCATCGATTCCAAAATCTCTATTTAAAATCTGAACTACTTATTGGAACTAAACAGATTTTCCTAATTTAAAATTATGATCACTCTCCATTAAGTTAGTAAAAACTAAAAAAAAAACTGTGCTTAAATGTTTTTCTGTAAAAATCATACCATTTGTTACATAGTATTTTTCATATTAACAACCGAAAGTTCTTCAGAACTATTATTATTATAGCCTCTTTATTTCTTTAATACTTTTTTAAAACAACACTTCAATTTGTAAAAATATTAATAATATATAATTTGTAAAATATTATATTATACCTTTTAACATTAAGTGATTGAAACTAAAAACAGTTTCAATCACTTAATGTTATATAAATTTGTGTTACATTATTGTTTAGATGATTATTAAATTTATTACAAATAAATTGAAATTATTTTAATAAATATTTTTTAATTAAGGACCGCTCATCGAGTAAAGGCCTCCTCCAATTTTCTCCAATACTCTCTCTTTTGCTTAAGTAAACCAGTCTATGCCTGATACCTTGTTTATTTTATCTATCTATCTCTGTTATGGTCTTCCTTAACTTGCCACTTCAGAACTAACCTCTATTCAATCTGTGTGCCCCCGCCAAGTCGAGCACAAAAGTCTTACTGCGATATCGCAGGTATACACGTAAACCACGTTTTATTTATCTTAGTATAAAAATTTAACTAGATTATTTAATTTTTTATATTATATATAATTATATATAAATTATTATATATTATATAAATCTATTGCTATAGAGAAATAATGAGTTAAGTAATTTATTCATTTAAAAAAACTTTGAATACGGCAGTGAGTGCCGTACATTAGTTCAAGGTAATTCTCTGTTGAGCTTAATGTTCTTTGTATTCAAGAAGTAGAAGGTACCGGAAAAGAAAAAAGTAGGACTATCTACAAAAAGAAATGAGATGCCATCACTGAACAATCTTATTAATATGTATTACCTTTAAGATACATTGTGTTTTCATGCGATGGCCAAATCAATCTATTTAAAACATAAAAGGTTTTTAAATTGATATGGTCACTATATGATGTTGTTAGGTTAGCTAATTACGTAGTAACTTAAGACAGAAGGTCCCTTAAGTAGAGATTTAATAAAGTAACCGACTTGGTATTACATGGATCTCACAACTTTTTACGGTAGAAGAACTGAGTTGCGAGACTTGTTTTTTTTTACAAGTTTTGTTTTTTATGTTAATTATTAAACAAGTAGGTAGACAAAGGAAGCAGTATTGTTTATGCAAGTGCAACCACAGGTCACGAATTGTTTAAAAACCAGTCGCTATGCTAATAAACTGACTACTTTAAAAAACTGGCTTTATTCCGTTTCGTTTATACTCACTAGGAAGTTACCTACACATTTCATTCTCGCTTGAGTTATTGAGCAACGCAAGGATGTTCGCCAAAATATTTGTTACGTTATTAGCCTTCAGCTATTTTACAGTAATATTCAGTTATCCTGATGTAGAAACTGGTAACAGCAATGGGTCTTTTTATTATTTTGCATACGGCAGTAATTTGTTGGCGAAGAGGATACACATTAAAAATCCGTCTGCAGTTTTTTACAGTCCGGCTAAATTGGCGGTGAGTCCATCATGTTTACTTTTTATCACAATAGCTTTATGTAATTTGGCGACGATCAGGGACGCATAATTCAATATTTTCTTTGTTTTTTTTAACACAAGAATGTTTTAGTACTTACCTACTTTCAAATTTTGAAATATACCTACTAACTTTTAAAAAAAGTTTCTCTAATATATTATTATGATTACGGGAATTAACGCGCTCACGCTTCTTATTAGGTAGGTACCTGACGAGCCTGTAGGTCTAGTGGTTGGACCCTGACTACTAAGCCGGAGGTCGTGGGTTCGATTCCCACCCAGGACAAATAATTGTGTGATGAGCACGATCATTTGTTCTGTGTGTGGGTGTAATTTATCTATAATGTATATAGGTATGTATTTAGAAATCTGTAAATATGTTTATCAGCAGTCTGGTTACTATAGTACAGGCTCTGTTTAGTTTGGGATCGGACCGCCGTGTATGAGATGTGTGAAGTTATTATTATTACCTTTGAATAAACGTTTCAACAAGGTTGCACTGGTTGTTGTCACAGGCCGAGTCAGGTAGGTATACCACTAAATATCCAGCGGGAGCGCATTAATTCCCGTAATAATAAATAATGTTTGAGATGTGTCAATTTATTAACTTATTATCCCACCCTATCTTATTTTAGAACCACAGACTAGACTTTAACGTTTACGACCCACTTTGGAATGGAGCTGTGGGTACTATAGTTGAAGATGAAGAAAAAGAGGTCTGGGGCAGTCTTTGGACAATCGATATCAACCAAATGAAATATCTAGACGAGTAAGAAAGATGTGTGATACTTACAGAAATAAAATAATATTATGTAGGTGAATATAGTTTCTTAACAAAATGTTATTTCGTTCAACAGGCAAGAAGATCTAAACTGGTACCGAGTTAAAAACGTAACTGTGACTAAACCTGATGGAACGGAAGTATTGGCAAGAACGTATCAGGAAATCGACAATCCTAGCAAAACTGAAAACGGCAAGGATTTACCACTGGACAGACGTCCTTCCAGTACCTATTTAGAGGTTAGTAATTTAACCGTTCATTAAATTGGGTATACGTTTTATAACTCTCGTATTAATTACATGTATTTTCTTAAAAATGCACATAGGTAGCTGCCTTAATTGCTAAAACCTATAATATGTAAGTATTCAAATATTTCATGGACACACTCATCTAACAGATGACGTCGAATTCAAACGGAAGTTATTGTTTTTCTTCGGTAAACTAAAAATAAAATCTTGGTGATCTCCCTGGAGCTGTCTTGTTGTATATAAAGATATGATTAGCCGCACGGTGGTACTAGGAACCGCTCGAAGAACTAAATATTAAAAGAGATTGAAAAAAAAGACTAAGGTACCAACTACTAAAACCCCATACTGAATTTCTTTGTTTCAAACCATTTTATCTTTCCATGTTTGTTAGGTATTGCCCCATCCTGACTTACACAATTTTTTTTTATAAATAAGAGATAAAAATAATATAAACTATATTTCTATACTTACAACAGTTCCTTATAATCTTATACTTATTTTTCAGGTAATAGCTCTGGGCGCAATTGAGTCACACCTTCCTGCAGAATATGTTGGATTTATCTTTGCATTCCCCACTAATGGAAAATTGGCATCTACACAGATTAGAAATCAACTAGGTTACCCGTTCTAAAGTAAACTGCAGTATCAACAATGAATAAATTCATTTAAAATTTTCGTTTTCATTTTTTCTTATTGTAAGCCCGTTTTAGGCCAGTGATCAACAACCATTTTTAATTCAAGTCCGGAATAAAATAAACATATAAGACAGTAAATCATCTTTGGGTCCATATATTGATGTAAATAAGTATGAAAAGGTTATGCCAACTAGTTTTCAGAAATACAAAGATTTTAATAAATCTAACACAAAACAAGAGAAGATTAAGCTTTCTCGTGATATTTTAAGTCTGCTGGCGAATTTCACTTTCGTTTTTTAATTTTATTATATTCCCTTCCGCATCATGTCAATGAGTTATACAGAAATTCTGAACCCCTTATCTACAGTAAAGACATTTTCTCATGCATAAGCAAAAAAATTGTTTTTAGCTTTTGTAGCTTATATTATGAATTGCTATTATTCAAGCGAACATAATCCAAACAAGTGTTTGTACAAGCATTAATGCATCCACAAAAATTGACTGTTTTTGGTGCAGTCACGGAATTGATAATAATACTTAGTACCTGTTTATGGCATAGTGGTATCATCGAAATGACGATGAAGACGCTATTACTGTCATTGATGGTATACCTGCAGTAGTCGGTGGGGCTCCCTCTGGCCAGAGCTTGCAATATCGATAAAACCTGACGGTGGTTCCAAGCAGAAGGCATCATACAAGCCGACGGTCACTACCCATATTTTATAGTCATCAAGTCCTTAATCCTCGCCATGCTGTAGCAAACAAATTTATAAAAGTCACATTTGTTATTGATTGACTTTAGTTTAAGCACCTTTAAGTTTCGGAGTTGATTATGTGATTTTTATGAGTTCCAAATGACTAATAACTATTAATAGTCGTCAAAAAAAAAGTAGTTAGGGATGTAATTTAGTATTTGTCAGATAGAAAGTCTGGGATTGTACTAGGTATATTTCTCCAAATAACAGTACCTAAAGATTTAGTTGTTAATATGACTGGTAAGTAGGTACTGGTAAGAGTAAGACAGTAGACATTAGAATCATGTCTCTAAGGATTTCAATCATTGAGACTCGGCAAGATTATAATCGGAATATGAATCTTTAGAGCAGTGTGTGACTAGTGACTATGGGATTTATATTTCTTGATTTCGACTATTTTATTTGATTGATGGTTTACAATAAATCTATGGTTGAAAACATGGTGATATCAACCAATTAGATGAAGGCCCCACGAATATAGCCTTAGCGGAGAACATCTTATGACTATAACAATTTTGTAATTCCTATCGTCTCATTGCCGCTGTTCTCAAGAACACTAAGCAAAATATATTATGTTTATATTTAATAGACTACAAGCAAAAGAGATGTATCTATCACATTTTACCTGTATTTTTTTCCATCTTTGTTCCCTCATTACTTCTTTTTTTAATGGTAAGAAAATTAAATTAAATTGAATGGAAAAATTCTACCCTTAAATAGTAAAAAATAAAGAATCAAGAACAGTAAATTAAGAATACGTTGCAATTCATCACGATGCAAATGTGCTTACATTGCTTTGAAGTCAGTGATACTTTTTGAAAAGTTAATTATTTCTAAACGTTTGCTTCGAAATAAGTCTTTGAATATCAAAAAACACACATTAGTAAAGGATACTTCTTATTTTAGTTATTTATAATCGATTAAGCTAGATCATTCGAACATTGTATTTTTATCATTAAAATACAATGATCTACTTTTAATATTTAATTGCAAGTGAGAATGTAAATTAATCTCATTTGCATATACTTGATTAAACTTCTCAAAACGAGTTACTCACACAAATATGTGTGCGTACAATGGCTTTAAAGCAAGTAAGTCATTACATAGACATTTGTAGTTACAAGAGCTTGTGTAGTTGTGTTTACCCCCACAATGTATTTCAAAATATTTATAATTTTACTGAGTTATTTTACAATTATTTCAAGTTGTCCCAGTGAAGAAACTACTGAGCCCAATGGATACTTTTATTATTTCGGATACGGCAGCAATTTATTAGCGAAGAGAATACACATCAACAATCCATCTGCGGTGTTAATCAGTGCAGCCAAACTGCCGGTAATTAAGTTTATTTTTAAGTGTTTCATTTCATTCGCTATAAAAGTTATTTTAAATTGTAATGATTATCTAGGAACTGCAGCTATCCCTACCTCGCTGTGCATACTGACAACGGGAAACACAAAATCTCTCTAATCATTTTTTTTTACTTTTTTCTGACGCACTGGATTAGATTTCAAGGTATTTAGGTTTTATTTATAAAACAATTCCTATTTTTAATAATAGAATTACAGATTAGACTTCATTAACCTCGGAGATACTAAAGAAACTTGGAATGGTGCTGCAGCAACGATAGTTGAAGATGATGAAACGGAGGTCTGGGGCAGCCTTTGGAGGATCGACATCGACCAAATGAATAATTTAGACCAGTAAGAGTTTTTATGTTTATTAATAACTGTTTTCTGTCCGACAAATTCTGTTAACCCACGTGATCTTAAGTGAATCAGACACCAGTCTATTCGAAGGAAAGGGTTTGATGTAATACAAACTTGGGTTTACTAAAATTCAACACAAACAAAATTAAGCAGTATTTTTAGAGTTATGATCAAAGTACCTACTTTTAATTATAAATGTTTTTAATGTTTTTTAACCAAAGACGTTATAGACATTAAAACCAAATTTACGACAAATTAATATTTTTAGCTGGATTTTCGTCAAACTTTATAGATTTCGCCTCTTAATGCAAACTCATAATATCTATTGACTAATAGGTTTATTAGTAGTAGGATTGGTTAGAATTGGTTTAAACATTATGAAGCGATAAATATGACCTGTATTTTGTTTACAAAAGGTTGTGCCTTCTTTTATCAGGCAAGAATATCCATATTACTTTGCTAAAAATGTGACGGTGACAAAACGTGATGGAACAGAAGTGTTGGCTCGAACTTATATAGGAAAGACGGCCCCCAACAAATTGAAAAAAGGAGAGGATTTGCCTTCTGAGAGACGTCCTTCCAACACCTACTTAGAGGTAAAATATTTTTTCTATGTTTAAAAAAGGTTGGTTGCTTCTATCGTAACTTGTTTGATGACCGACTGTTCTACCAATAATAATTACTTGAGTATAGGACAATTATTGTATTAATAGCCCAACATATATATATATAAACCCAAATAAAGTTTAGCCTGTAGGGGTGAAGCAGGTTACCAATTGGGTACAAAAATTAGTAAATTTAATATTTCGCGAAGAATTCAGTCCATCAATGTTTTGAAAAATCTGCGAAAGGGTGCAAACTATGGGAGTAATGAGCCTTCCTCCAATCCATAATTCCATTCATTCATTCCAATCATTTTTTGTAATGGTAAAGTATTAAAAAAAATAATGTTTTCAATGTTATATGTCACAACTTTTGATTCATACAATAATATGGATTATGTGTATGCCATGCATAATTACAGTCTCTAAGATAGTTCTCTAAGCAGCACACGGACGGACTTGGCTTTCGGTATACTACTAACTAAGATTCCTTGACTGTATTAGAATGTTCATTATGTACTGAACCTCTACGTGTGATTTGCTAATTCTTCTCTGAAATTTTTGATCACAACTGCGCAGTCACTCCAAGATCAGTAGGTATACAGTTTTTTTATGAGCGCATACATTTATGCAACGGGGAGCATGTTTGTAAAGTCAAATAAGTTTTTTATTAAACATTTAAACAATAGAGGCGGTACATTTTAGTCTGAAATACTAAGGCATGACATCATTGTTAGCTATTGTTACATCCTTCACTTTTGATGTATATTTAATGATATCAAAAAAAGAAGCATTAAATTGTGGAGGACAACTCATGCTGTATTTTAATATGTTACCTACATTTAATGATTCTGGCAAAATAATTTATCTTCAATATAGTAATCAAACCTACTTGGAGTCTATCAAACGATGTTTTTCTAATTAATATTATTTAACGGGAATTAACGCGATCTCTTATTTAGGGTATTACATACCTCTGGTTTGCCTGACGTTTCGACCAGGTTGCACCGGCCGTGGTCACAGGCTGACTGGCTCATCGGCGCACGCCCTCCGTCGTCGAATCCGTGAAGTAGAAGGCTCTTCATCTACCCGCACATTTTCGATATTATTTTTGTGTCGCCATGTACCGTCACATACCACACTAACAGTGTCCCTATTCTGTAAGCAAACCGATGAGTCCCTATTCTGGTGTTTAACCGATTGCGCAGAAAAGCGAGGTGGTATGTTTTTTAACACTGGATTCCACGCTGTAGATAATTTAAAACCATCTTCCCGATTGAAAGTTTTATGCTTTTTAATCTCAATCGCTTCACGTACAACTCTTGAGACGTCGGCTCTTCACAGCAGCGATAAGAACCGACAGACGAGCAAATCAGCGATTGCAGAACATGCACTCGATGCAGGCATCAACCACTGGATTGAATTTCACCGCACGCAAGTCCTCTCCACCGAACGTCACTTTTACTCAAGAGTTGTACGTGAAGCGATTGAGATTAAAAAGCATAAAACTTTCAATCGGGAAGATGGTTTTAAATTATCTACAGCGTGGAATCCAGTGTTAAAAAACATACCACCTCGCTTTTCTGCGCAATCGGTTAAACACCAGAATAGGGACTCATCGGTTTGCTTACAGAATAGGGACACTGTTAGTGTGGTATGTGACGGTACATGGCGACACAAAAATAATATCGAAAATGTGCGGGTAGATGAAGAGCCTTCTACTTCACGGATTCGACGACGGAGGGCGTGCGCCGATGAGCCAGTCAGCCTGTGACCACGGCCGGTGCAACCTGGTCGAAACGTCAGGCAAACCAGAGGTATGTAATACCCTAAATAAGAGATCGCGTTAATTCCCGTTAAATAATATTAATTATCATGGAACGCGAAAGTTTAAGATGTTTTTCTAGTTTTGGGTTACATCTGAAATGAAATATTACCGCACGGCAATGTTCTCGAGATCCATTTTCTATAAGTGATGATAATTGACTGCACAGATGGCATAGTGGTTTAAACTGCCGTTTCCCGGTTGTGGTTTCGATCCCCACATGGGACGACACTTTGTGTGAACCACAAATTGTTGTTCTGAGTTTGAGTGTTTTTTGTGTCCGATCACGTAAATAGGTTTGTAAAGTTCCCGCGACACAATTTAAAACACTCTAAGCTTTGATTTGTAACATATTTTACTAATATCGTGTCGTTAGTGTAGATTGGGGATTCCCAAACTATTATGGGCACGAGAACCTTTTCTGAACTGATACCTATGATTAAAATTAGAAATTACTGCACGCTTATCGCCTTGAGTTTTTAAAAGGACAATAGTGATACTTCTACTACTACTATAGTTAAACCGCCGTAAGCTTGGCCCTCCTGATGGATTAGGGGAAGCGGGGCGAGGATGCATTCAACCAATTAGCTAGTTCGTCACTGTCCGCCGGCAGTGAGTGACTGACGTGAAAGCATGGCTGTACGTGTTATTTTTCTTAAGACTGCTACACACGGTATTATTTTGCGACATGGATAATCTGCCGACACTGCGTCACAAAAAGATTTAAAAACTTGAGGTTCGGCTTACAGAGGTTCTACTGTTAAAGTTCTAATAAAGAATATTTATTATTTTACTTAATTTTTAAATTGTATCTGAATATAATTTACATGATAAAGAAAAGGTGATTTTATTAAAATTATTTTACAGTATTAAATTTTACAATTAATCATAACAACTTACAATACACTGACATTATAATACATGGAAATAAATTCGATTTTTATTATATCGTGTGTAGATTAAATCTCAAACAAATAAATCTGAAGATATCGAGTTAGTACATCGTGTCATGTATAGCCGAGCGCATCACCCGCCCCGCGTCCCGCAAACCATCAGGAGGGCCAAGCTTACGGTTTAACTATAAAATATTAGTCATTCTAACAACAAACTAGTAGGTACACGTAACACAACTAATACAGGTTCTTGAAAGTTTCAAATAAGAATTTGTTGCTAATAGGGGTCGATTTTACACTTCGTCGACCCCTAAATTAGGTTTTCCTTTGTCGACCCCTGAGAAACCGATTTCGACCCCAAGGAGTCGATATCGATCACTTTGGGAATCTCTGGTGTAGAGTATAATAGAGGTCTCTCACAATGTATTGGTATTTCGAGACGTTGGTAATTGGAGAAGTAGACTATTTGCGAGCAGTTGGTATTTTGAGAAGTTGGCATTCTGAGCCGAAACGGTTGGAACGTTCATAAAACTAGTGTTTCCCAACACATAAATACATTATATACGAATGGTTTTTTTTTCAGGTACTAGCTCTCGGTGCTATAGAGTCGCATCTTCCAGCGCAGTATATAGGTTTTATTTTCTCATTCCCTACCAACGGACAGATGGCTGCTATTGGAAAAAGAAATCAACTAGGATATCCTTTTTAAAGTAATAATAAACACATTTTAATTAATCGTCTTTTCTCTTGACATATTGACTTTCTTCATCTTCTAATATATAAAATTCTCGTGTCACGGTGTGCGTGGTTGAACTCCTCCGAAACGGCTCGGCCGATTTTCGCGGAATTTAGTGTGCATATCGGGTAGGTCTCAGAATCGGCCAACATCTATTTTTCATACCCCTAATTTTATTTGACAAAAAAAATTGAAATAATTTTATAGCAAAACAACGTTTGCCGGGTCAGCTAGTTATTTATATATACACATTGACTTCTTGAGTCAGTTTCAATACAAAATTATGTCAAATCATACTCGACTATGTGACGAGAAGCATTATAGATCACGGGTATGAGGTGAGTATTTCTGAATGCAAATAGTATGCATGAAGATGAATATCTGAAGGCTAATTCTCGTAATCAAAGTTCGGTTACAATTCAGTGCCGATCAACTCTCAATCTCACAACTGTCATGAAAGGTATTTTCGTAGTAAAGTATTAACCATCCAACGTTAACTGTAATGTGTATATTTCGTATTGTAACCGAAAATTGAATCGGTAATCTTCTAGTCTTAGCAATGCTTTACTACTTTACTACGAGAAAACCTTAGTACGCTGAGTAATGTCTTCAATATTGATACCTTTTAACCGCGCCTTCTTTAATTTTTGTGAATACATACATAAATAATAATAACTTCACACATCACACGGTAGTCTGATCACAAACTAGGCAGTCTGTGCTATGGTAACCAGAATACCGATAAACATGCTTTTATATTTTTTCGATTTATTAATTGGTTCGATTGTACAGGGTGGCGCAATAGAACGTGCATATTGCATCATCTTTTTTCGCGGGGTAGAAAGTGCGCGGGCGGGGGGAGCCTGCATCGTTGGGTAGGCGGGCTCATGGAGTTTTAGTCACTATGAGTCACTTCGACGGGAAGCGTCGCGCATTTTGCGTGCGCGCATTTTACGAGAACTCTCGTTCATACATCGTTACTAGGCGTTTATATTGTTCTGAATATGGACTACGGCAAATTAGTAAAGCTCCGAGTGCTAATTTAATTAAAATATGGGTACAGCGTTTTGAAGAGACTGGTTCAACGTTTAAACCACAATCAAAAGGTTGTCCAAGAACATCTAGGACCGACGACAATATTGAGAGAGTTATGCAGTCTGTACGAGGAGATCCACAAATGTCTACTCGTAAGAGATCGTCTGTCTTACACTTATCGCGACGAAGTTTGCAACGAATTTTAAACTTGGATCTTAAACTGCATCCTTACAAGCTGCAGTTAACACAAGAATTGAAAGAGTCTGACTTCGGAGCAAGGCTCTCATTTGCTAATGAAATGCTTAATCGATTTTCCAATTTTGACAATATCCTTTTCTCAGATGAGGCCCACTTCCATATCAATGGGTTCGTAAACCGTCAAAATTGTCGTTACTGGAACAGTGAGAATCCCAAACTCAAGCACCAGAAACCACTGCATAGTCCTAAAGTGACAGTATGGGCAGCAATCTCTGGTAGAGGAATAATTGGACCGTTTTTCTTTGAAAATGCGCGGGGGCAAAACGTCACTGTTAATACCGAACGCTATGTTGCGATGTTGGAAGGTTTTTTGACTCCAGAGCTTGAAAATTCAAGAATAGTGAATTCTAGGACTTGGTTTCAACAAGACGGAGCTACCTGTCACACATCAAATGACTCCATGGCGGTTGTGAAACAGATGTTCCCTGGCAGACTGATTTCGAAAAGAGGTGATATCCCATGGCCCCCACGTAGTCCAGACGTGACGCCTCCTGACTTTTTTTTGTGGGGATACCTCAAGAACAAAGTCTACAGTAATAATCCGAAAAACAACGATCAGCTCAAGGAGAATATCCGTGGTGAAATGGCAGCAATTACACCAGCATTACTGAAGAAAGTTTTCAATAACTTCCGTTTGCGATTAGAGGAGTGTCGTCGTAGAGAGGGTCATCATTTAGACGATGTTATTTTTAAAAAATAAACTTCAGTTATTTCTTAATAATACCTCAGTTTTATTTTAACTATACCTTTTGTATTTATTTTCTAATCAATATTTTAAATATGCACGTTCTATTGCGCCACCCTGTATGAAATGTGGAGGACAGCGCCATCTAGTATCTAGTAGATCATCTAATAAGGTTGTGGTTAATACGAGTAGTTCTGATCCTTACAGTGCTAGATGGCGCTGCAAGTAACGCGTGACTGACTCTGGAATATTCGTGTTTGTTTGGAACGGACTGTCGAATACTAGGAACTTTCTAGTAAAATTTAAAAGCGCTATAAAAGCGGAGTGCGACAGTCTCGATTTACGACACAGCGAATTAACATCGGAGTGAATTTCTAGTGCGATATATAGTGATTTCTAGTTTATTATAGTGAGTGTTTGTAAATACAGTAAAATAAAGTAATTAACCGACAACTTTTATTCATTACTAGCTGACCCGCGCAACTTCGTCTGCATCTCTCAATAATAATAAATTTTCTCCGTTTTTGAAACATTCTTCATTGGTGCTCCGCTCGTATTGGTCTTAGCGTGATGATATATAGCCTATAGCCTTCCTCGATGAATAGGCTATCTAACACTGAAATAATTTTTCAAATCGGACCAGTAGTTCCTGAGATTAGCGCGTTCAAACAAACAAACTCTTCAGCTTTATAATATTAGTATAGATATACCCCGCTAGTGACAATAATATAGATAAATTACACCCAGACACAGAACAACTTATCGTGCTTATAACACAATATTTGTCCTGGGTGGGAATCGTACCCACGACCTCCGGCTTAGTAGTCAGGGTCACTAAAGACTAGATCAACAGGCCCGCAGGCAAAAATACCCTATGATTTTTTCTGTACCCCTGGCAACTTATATGAAGTGTCATGATGATCCGTTAAGTAGGTAAGGTTATTATTGCATAGGGGCAAGCGGGGAGGCGGGTCACCTGATGGTAAGTGACTACCGCCGCATACGGACACCTAAAACATAAGTACGCTCGATCCACGAAAAGAGGGATAATCACTTCAGAATTTGTAAAATCTTTCTTTTTTTCTTTCTTTTAAAGACAATTCCCGCATTAAGATTATATCCTGTGTCGCTGGGGACTTTACAAACATACATGAAAAGGACACAAAGAACACCCAGACTCAGAACAATTATTTGTTTGTGGTGCACACAAAGTGTCGTTCCATGTGAGGATCGAGCCCAGAACACTCAGCGTAGTAGAAAGCGGCGTGGCGACCGCTTAAAACACTACGCCATCCGTGCAGCGAATTAGATAGGATGTTTTTTTTTCCTTTCTATTCAACACTACAACACACTCATCCGTGTTCACCACCCCTATTCATCCCGTGGGTGTCATAAGGGCCGACTAACACTGCAAAGAGAAGGAAAACTTGAAACAAACCCTATACCAAAACGTCAGGCCAGCGTGGTATAGTAGGCCTAAACCTCCTCTCTAAGGAGAGGCCTATGTCCAGCAGTGGACTATTATAAGCTGTTGATGTAATGACGTGATTCTACACTAAACAGTTATAAATGCTTTTTGCCTATTCGCTGCAATCTCTGGGGCACGAAAGTAAAAAAGAAAGATATTATGATGATATAATTTATTGTAGTTGTTCGTATTACATATACAAACTTGCGGCAAACACGATATCTCTCTTGAGCAGTTTGATTGCTTCGCTGAACTTATTCTCGAGGTCTGTGTTACCGATGTTCTTGGCAGCCTGGCACAACTGACGCAGAACCTCTTCTAAGCGACGCATGCATCTGATTATTGATCCTGGGGATGATGATTATGTTATATACCCAGACATACGGCACAAGGGCGGCACATTCAAGAGGACGGCAAAAACAGATACGAGGGCTGCTATTTATGTATCCGGAATAACAAAGTGAAACAAACATATAGCATTTATTATAGTTTTATTGCCGGCGTCAAAATATTCGCCGTGATGATTGATGCACTTTTGATGAACCAATGTTCGCAGCACTTTTTCCATTCTGATCGTGGTATCTCCAAAAAGTGCATTTTGAACGCATCAACAGCCTCTTCATGGCTCGAAAAACCTAGAGCACGTAATTTATTCTTCACGGTCTGGAATAAATAGAAGTCATTGGGGGCCAAGTCAGGGCTGTACGGCGGATAACCGTTAATTCGATCTTTTGATCTTTCAAATACTGAGTGGTTTCGCGCGATCAGTGGCATTGTCATGATGTAGAAGGATTCTGCGTTATCAGTTATTATTTCTTATTTCTTCAAAGACTTCGGGCAAACAAATGGTCGTGTACACGTTAAATACACGCAATTTTCAGAATGACTCCACAAAGGACAGCTACATGAAACAAATTGTATTCTTTAGCCAAAGAATTACATTGTTAACTGTTATAATTACTATTTTAATATTGTTCTGTAACTGGCCAGTTCCTGACACATAAATAGGATCCCTCGTAGAGAAGCGATAACGAAACATTCTCATAATTTGCATGTCTAATTTAGTATTATTATGTTACCAGCGTTAAGAAGATAGTAACGCATAGATCAAGCCCTGCACCCTGATGAATCACAATCAATTCCTTGGAACCTGATTGGTCAGGAGCGAGGCTTGATAGATGCTTCACTATTATCTTAACGTGAATAAACTATGGCTTACATTCGACGTTATATTTATGCCATACCTTCGAAAACATCAGTCATCTTGCATATCTGCAAGAAGGAGGCGCCCTTAGACCACGCGAGCACGACGTCCATGAGCGTGCACTTGAACTTGCTGACATAGTCATCCTCATCGAGGTCCATTTTAGCGTCTATCGACACCTTTGCTATCCGTCGGGCGTATTCCTGTACAACACAAAGTCATTTGTATTTTTTCTTTAGATTGATAAGTGAGAAACTACATCGTTTTCCAAGTCTATATTAATGCAGGTTTAATTATAAATCTATATGTTAGAAATAAACAATTATACGCATGGTAATCAGAACTTTTAGTTGTAATTATTATCACGACGTGTTTTAATTAAATTTCATTTTTACTTTACTTTCAAGCATGCAATTAGACATTCGAATGACACATTTAGCATGTTCAAGTCTGGCTTGCATTTGTGTATCTAAAATCTTCTTACGACAGATTTCATACAACTGATTATTATCATTCACTTTTTAATACACGCCTAAGGAAGCAAACTAGGCCACAAACAAGATACATTGCACCATTATCAATTCTGTGTAGTAATTGCAAATAGTAATTTGCAATGACTATACAGACAAAAAAATACAAAATCATAATTCAATTAAAACTCTAAATAAGTATGACACATGCTGTTTTTCATTTATTTATTTTTTATATATATTTTCCAACTTGTTAAAAACTGACCTGTAACTGTCTCAGAACTTGCCGTAGCTCTTCGCCCGTAGCAGAGGACTGTGAAGAGTTCTCGTCACACACGAAACAGCTGACGAGTGACGCGCTCTGCTCAGAATTCAACCCGTTGAACACGCCGTTGAATATCAACTCCGTCAGAAGAAGCTCGTCAGCACTGCAAATTAGTATGGCAGAGTTAAGATCACAGAACTAGCTTAAATCATGGATATCATACTACAAACACAAACTGACTCAATTATTTAATTTACTACAAAGGATTAATGAAACACGATTAGATTCCTTCAGTGAATCAGTAGTTATGAGGTATCCTGAAGAGTTCGTGAAGACCCAGTGTCGATTATCGAAGGAGCTGTATTTTGGGCCGACAAACACGCATTGTCCAGGAGCTTAGTCTAACATCCTAATAATACACCTAAATACATTTATTATTAATTGAAAATGAGTGGCTGTGAACTATAATTAAATTTCTTATTTCTTATATTCTGTCGCAAGGGACTTTACAAACATACATGAAACGGACACAAAGAACACTCACTCACACAAAGAAGACTCAGAACAACAATTTGTGGATCACACAAAATGTCGTCCCACGTGGGGATCGGACCCACAACACTCAGCGTAGTAGTGAGCGGCGTGGCGATCGCTTAAACCACTACGCCATTCGTGCAATCGAATAATTCCTTTTTACCTATAGCCTCAGACAAAAGTACCTTTCGAAGGGGGTAAAATAATTTAATGTTTTTCTAAAATCATTGCGAGTGAAGCCGCGGGTAAAAGCTTGTGATCAGTCACTTACAGATTATAAGCTAATATAATAAAACGCGACTGTCCCATCTCTCAGCTTACAGAAAGCCTCTATATTAAACACATGTAGAATCGTCAGAAAATTCATGCAGTTAGATGACACCACACCCACATATTGTACTCACCACATGCTGTATTTACTTGGTTTAGGCCCGTAAATACGGTGGAACCAGCTAAAAAGCTGAGTAAATAAAAATTAAAACCCAAAATAATAATAATATTTCGGACATCTGACACACAACGCCATGTAGTTTCCAACTAAGCACAGCTTGTACTATGAAAGCTAGATCGCCTGATAGAATACTTTTTTTTTGTAAATACATACATATTATACATAGAAAACACCCAAACTCCGAAACAAATATTTGCAGATCATACAAACAGTTGGTCTGACCCCTGGATTCGAACCCGAGACCTCAGCACAGCAGTCGTATACGCTACCACTGCACCACCGAGGCAGTAATATAATGTATTATGGATAAGACTATGTTCTAATAGCATCACAAAAATACGGCTCACATATACTAACCTACTTAATTCACAAGCGATACGGCCTTTCAGCTCAATAACATCAGCTGCAGTACAATATCCAAGCCGTCTTAGTACTCGTTTCCTCTTCTTCAACTCGTCCATCTGCAGTATACTCTTTGCTTTCTTTAGCTCGGCTTTAGCGAGGTTCAGTTCTTCTAGCAGCTCTTGTTTCCTATCGAAAGCGGCTGTGAGAGCCCCGCGACTCTTATCTTTGTGGAGTGGATGTGCATATAGTCTGACAAAGGAAAAAAAAACAATTAACACTTTGAATCACAGGTAAGATCTATAAATTACGACACTTGAACCCACCGATCAATTCTGAGTAGGTATGACAACTGTGGTTAGTTTATATAAAACAGAAATAGTATAATGGTGCTAATTCTGTTGTTCGAAAACTCTAAACTAAACTGCTGTTATCCATTCTAAAAAACTAAAAATCACAAAAAATTGTTTAGTCCTGTCAAACAACGTTTCCTATTCTGAAAACTAAATTTAAACGCTCTGCAGGCACATTCTAAAAAGGTTAAAGTAAGAGCTTGCTAAATAAGTTATGGGGAGACCTTAGGAGAGCCATACTTCAGCACATATTGGGCAGACAGGTCCCCTGATGGTAAGTGACTTTCTCCGCCGTGGACACCTACAATTCAAGAGTGCGTCACCACCTATTGAACCTCGCTCCTTTCTCCCGTAGAATAAGGGGAGAAGAGTTGTCCCTGGTAACCTCAATTACACAGTGCAAAGTAACAAACAAAGCACCGCAGCTTGTCTCTCTCACGTATTGTATTTATAGTAAAGAATAACAAAAGAAATAAGTGATTTTGATTACCTTTCTTCCAACTCCTTTATCCTATCTACACACTCCTTGAACACAGAATCGTTGATCTTCATATCTTTTATAGGATTGAGTAACGGCGGGCCCTCAGCGAACCGTTTCTTTACCTCGCCAATAGTTTTAAGGACGGACTTGCGATTGTCCGCTGGCCTCAAGTCTTTAGGATAGTACACGCGGAGAGAGCTTATTTGATATATCAGTGTGTGTAGCACTGGAACCACTTCTACGTCTCCTGCCTGCAACGGAAAAATTCAATTATATCACGCAATGCAACTCTTATTGTAACTTCGGCCCATGATGTGGCCTGTTGATATCCTTGTCGTTTACTAACTTTTAAACTATCGCGTTCCCTAATATATAATTATATGTTCACGGGAATTAACGCACTCAGGATGGATATTAAGTACACACTTTAAGCCTCATACATACGTAACGATTTATCGTAGCGATTTCAGACTGTGCAGATAAATCGAACGTTCCTAGTGCCTCCACACGCCTCCGATATCGACGTCGATCGGGCAGTTCTCAGCAGAAGCTCGCGCAAGATACATGTTAACAATGGAAGATTATGACGCACTTGCTATATTAGGCCTGGTTATGTGTTTAAAGAAAAAAAAGAAGCGGAGTCTATGGTGTAAAGACTGGCTCATGAAAAGGAAGCAATTTTCTCATACCAACTTGTTATGCGAGTTGAAATTCGCTCCGCAAGATTGGCATAACTATTTAAGGATGAATGAAGAGGCATATTTAAATCTGCTCGCATTAGTGATCTGCACGTGCGCACACTAGCAAGCTCCGTGAAGTACTGCCGAACTGAGCGATCGCCGTCCACACGCAACGATAAAACTGTGCAAATATAATCGACAACGATTTATCTGATAGAAATTGAAACTGCCACCGACGAACGATTATCGACAACGATTTTTCATACACACGATCGATAAAACTGCGCAAACTGGTCTGCACAGATTTATCGCTACGATAAATCGTTATATGTATGAGGCTTTAGAATTGCCTGAATAAAAGTTCGGTCACAATTCAGTCAGATCAACTCTCGATCTCACAACTGTCATAAAAGGTATTTTCGTAGTAAATTATTAAACATCCAAAATAGACTGTAATATGATTATATCATATTGTAACTGAAAATTGAATCAGTAATCTGCTAGTCTTTGTAATACTTTCATATTTTGTTACGAAATTACCTTTTGATCGGAACTGAATTGTGACCGAACTTTTATTACGAGAATTGGCCCTCAAGTTGCACTGGCTGTGGTCATACCTGGCACCATGGTCAGCCTGTGATGTACCTATGTATTTAATATCTTATGCCTAGTTTACATGCGCGCCAAGGCTTGGCAAACGTCCACAAGCTCCAAGCCTTTACAAACGCTTGGATGCCATTTATACACCTGCGAGTGTGTACACTCTGTACATAGAGAAGCTATTCCTCTATATACAGTGCTTGGAATTGTGGAAGATGTTTTACATATTATAGTGGAATATGTGCGGAATGTCTTCATTCCAATATAATATGTAAAACTACTTACACAGTTCCACACTCTGTACATACATGTAAAGCGTAATGCTTGATGATATAGTTTTTTTTTTTGAAAGTAGGCACCTAAACTACTCCCACACACAGTACAAATGATCGTGCTTGTCACATTATATTTTATCTTGGGTGAAAATCGAGTCTACGCCTTAGCAGTCAGGATGGCAACTGCTGGTCAAGTTTTTTTTTATGTTAGAGGGGGCAGACGAGCAAACGGGTCACCTGATGGAAAGTGACCATCGCTGCCCATGAACGTCTGCAACTCAGAAGTCACACACGCGTTGCCGGCCTTTTAGGAAGGAGTACGCTCTTTTCTTGAAGGTTTGAAGGTCGTATCGGTCCGGAAATAGGACCGCAGATGATAACCCGTTCCACAGATTGGTTGTGCGGGGCAAAAATTGTCTCGAAAAGCGCACAATAGTGGAGCGCCAACTATCCAGGGAATAAGGATGAAAATTTTGCCGTGTGGAACGATGGCGGAAATTTGCGGCTGGTATTATTCCGAACTATTCCTCGGAGCACTCTCCATGATATATGCGATAGAGAATGCAGAGTGAAGCTACATCTCTACGTAACGCCAACGAATCGAGCCGGTCGCAAATCTTTTGGCTATCGGCGATTCGAGTCGTTCTTCGTTGGATGTCGTCCAGAGGGAGAAGCTGGTACTGAGGTGCCCCTGCATAGAGATGAGAACAGTATTCCATATGCGGCCGGACTTGCGCCTTATAGAGCTGAAGGCGGTGGGCCGGAGTGAAATACCCCTTGTTTCGGGGTCACCTCTAAGTGACCCCGAAACTGGACTTTGCTCGATATGACGATGCCTAGAATTCTGATGATGGCCGAGGCAGTTAGGGAGGTGCTCTCAAACTGAGTTTGTACGACAAATGGAATCTTTTTTGCGGTGCACGCGCAAACCTGTATTTTTTCAAGTCAAATTAATTTCTTTTTATTGATAGTTAAAATTGTTGGTTGACCAATAAAGGCTCTCAAGTCAAATCATTTGATCTTAATATTAGTTTTTACAAATAAAAATAATTTAAAAACTGGCAAATAGTAATTAATCATAATTTTAAATAACACTGAATTTCAGGAAGTTTGTGAAACATTCCCTTTTAACAGTAAATAATTGTCTCAAAAACTCACCTCACCAGGCGGACAAGGTACATTGCTCTCTGGTCCTTCCCCGGTACCTTTCTTCACATGTAACAGTATATCGACTATGATGGATGTCTCAGCATTCAGTGGATTCTCTTCTTGAGGCCTTCGACCCTTGCCCGTTTTGTGCCTAAAGTTCACTATTATGCCCCAATCGTATTCGTGTTTTTCAGTCTTAACCTATAAGCAGTTTAACATAGAACTGAAATATTTTATCACTCACTATGAGTCTTAGTTAGACTTGCAAAATACTAATACTAATATAATTTTAAGTAAAGCATCTGTACCTTGACCAACCGCCCGGGTTGCAAGAATGGCTTCAAATATTCAGGCTTGGTGATAAACGACCGGAACTGTGCACCTAACAGATCAAGTTGCGACCTGATACTGCAGTATGAAGCAATGGAATGCTCGTGCTCGATGCTTAGAGAGTCATATTCTTTCTGCTTGGCTTTCACTTCTGAAGGGTCAAAACCATTTTTGGATAAATAAACTTATATTTATCAACTAACATTAAATTTAAAAAAAACGAATCGATAAGTTAGTTTTACAGGTATATTCAGATTGTAAATAGCCTATCAAATGGTTAGTGAAATAGTCAATAATAAAATATGATCTTCATTCATCACAAAAAGGATGGCTGCAAAACTCAGTACTTGATCATGAAACAATGTTAATTGTTAAGCTATGTGAAAGACTGAGACTATCCCACACTACTTCAACCAGTTATAATAAGGCTATTCGATAGACATTATATCCAGATGATAACCAATCACAGTTATGCAACATGGTGGGCCACAGTGTAGAGGATCTATTAAACAGATATTACATATACTTACTATCTATAAGGTCTGGTATTGCCGCCTGATTTTGGAATTGGAAGAAACTCCTTTCTAACATATATTCTGGGTTTATTTCTTCCACTCTTAACAAATTTAACACCTGTAAAATTAGTTTGCATTTTTAATAACAATTATATCTAATTTAATCATGTGAAATCAGAATAAAAAATAAGTTCAATATTTACCATATTATAAGTAAGATGAAAAGCAGAATTAATAGGGTCTGCTTTACCCTGCACCATGCCTTTCACCACAGTAGGGGTGACCTTCTCATCGATCATCAAGATCACTATACCTTTGTCGTCGAGACCTCGACGACCAGCGCGCCCTGACATTTGAATATATTCACCTGATGTTATCTGCGAAAATACATATACGGGTTCGTTTATATTTAAATCCTAAGAGTTATTAGTATAGATAGGAGTATTCGTGACAACAGTTGGTCGGAAAGACCTGAGCACGGACTGAACTAAACTGATTTGAAATTTGTAATAGTTGCGGACATAGGAATACAGTTTCTAAAGTTACACTCATTTTAATATGGTAATACTCTATTAATAGTTTAACCATTTTATATAATAAATAACCCCATGGCCTTCCTCGATAAATAGGCTGTCCAACACTAAAACATTTTTCAATTCGAACCAGTAGCTCCTGAGATTAGAGTATTCAACCAAACAAACAAAAAATAATATTAGTACTAGTAATTTTATATTACCCAACTTAGTAGCAAATCATTACTTACAAAGCGAAAGTCTTTTCCATCAAACTTCTGGCAGCTTGTGAATACAACAGTTCTGGCAGGCATATTGAGACCCATAGCAAACGTTTCCGTTGCAAATAGCGCCTGTAATAGTAAGAAAAAAAGAAATATTATTTATTTTCATAGTCATCAGTATAGATTTAAAACAAATACCCTATGAAGAAGTAAGAAAAGGCATTAGAGCTCGTGGGAGTTTCACACTGAATTGTATGTTAGTTTCCTATGGTTGAAATAAATTGTCAAAAATGCTTGCGGAAAGCGAAAAGATATGCGAACATGTTTTTTGAAGCGACTACTGTTTAGTACCATTTATCCAAGTGATGGGGAATGAAATTTTGTCGAGTTGGAAGATGGTGGAAAGCTGCAGGTGGTTTAAGACCGAAAATTCTTGAATGCAGAATATATGATGCAGTTTCGCATATGGTGTGCTTGGATTCTGATTTTAAATTACATGGGTTACAATATTGATCTGCTATTTTCCGTATTTACCTTGATAAGCCCCAATCCGAACAATATCTCAATTGTTTCCTTCAATATGGGCAGTAATCCTCCGTGATGGATGCCGATACCCCGCCTCAGTAACGGTATTACGTTCTCAACTTGTGGCAGTTTGCGATCTTCTTCAGACAACACATCCGTCGCGTTGTTAAATACTTCGTCTACTAGCTTTTTTTCTTCAACTACAAAGACAAAACAAACATGATGATTATATTTTTATTGCAACACAAGAATAGTGCTCTTAATTTAATTTACGTACGTAATAATGGAAATAATTTACGTGTATAAGTTAGTAACATCTCATCAGTCTAGTTCAACATAAATGGAACTTACCAATACAGGATTTTCGAACAAAAAAAAAATTACAATTATCTTAGTGTCAATGCGGGGGTTAACTGTAGTAACAGACGATTGACGTATCTTTTTATAATAAAACTAGGTGTTCATCGTTTCTTCGTCATACATATTTTACTTTTTTAAATCCAAATATACATAATATCTTGAAGTATACATATAAAATATTTGAAATCTAACTATTTTAATTGCATTATTATATTTTTTCTTAGTTGCCTATAAATATTACATATATAATCTTTAGAAAAATGAACTCACTAGTGTTAAAATCTAATTTTGCCATCTGCATGGCATACGCCTCGCAATCTTTTTTACTGAAACTGAAAATGATAACGGGAGCAAAGTTTCTCTCCATAATCATCTTGACGATATTGAATATGTTCGTCTGGTTCGCACCGCGAGGTCCTCCGCGCCGCCCCCTTTGATCTCCTTTAGCTGCGTCACCTGCGTTGTTCAATACAGCCATGGCCGTGTTGAAGTTATCTTCTTTGAATATACTCTAAAATAATAATCAATAAAAATATTTTTTTAAGTTAATTATTAGAATTACTATTAAACTTAATCTTGAGCGCAGTTACAAAATATTTGTTTTACTAAATATATGTCAAATATTTTATATCTAAGTAAGTCCTGAATATTTTAATCTTAACAAACTGACAACAAAAAATCAATAATGCAACTTCAATGTAAAAAACTGTATCTTCTATAACCATTACAAAAAAAAACACGAAAAATATTCTGAAGCTGCTACCTCTGACATTGCAATCAAATGCAATAGCATCCATTCACAAAGATTAAATACAGGGTATAAAACCATAATTTTAAACATTATACCCTGAGTGTCAGGTGATGAAGTGTAAAGTTCTAAAATGTATAAATTGTACTTACATAGAATTGTGTAAACAGATTGATGGAAAGTGTAACTAGACTTTATAAACTATCATCATCACTATATATATATATTTTTTATAATTAACCAGTATGTTAAAGAATCGAGAGATTCTTTAACATACTGTATAAACATATTATAAGACATACAACTGCATACATCCATTAAACATAATTACCTTTTCATCCACAACGAGATGTATCCCATCACCACCAGCAGGGAAAATATAGTGCTGCAACGGAGTAGGTCTGTATTCCGTGTAAACCACGTGACAAGGTTGCGAATGCAGTCGGCACACCCACTCGGCGAACTGACGAGCGTTCGGAATGGTGGCCGACAGGAACACGTAGTGGACGTTGTCAGGTAAAAGGATCAATGTTTCTGGTAAAATAAAATATTGTGACAATATAATAAACTATTATCATTCAGTACAAAATGTCATCAATCAATCATGTGAGTCTTTCTTCTTATGATTTAGTGATGGTGGTCGCTGGTAAGTTACTTTCGCCAACTATGGACACTGTGAATTTGACTCTGGACCTCACTTACTAGGTGTAATGCAACAAGAAAATGGACACTAGTCTTCTATTAGACCATCATATTCCAGTCAAGTGGTTCTATATTTACCGAAGGATGATATTAGGTATATGGATGCTCCGTTATGGAGGATGGGCTCGAGAGGCGTCACGGCACCCTCTCATACCGGCTGACGCAGGTTATCACCGGGAAAGGTTGTTTCGGAGATCACCTGTGTCTGATCCGAAAGGAGCCAACGACTGAGTGCCACCACTGGTCGATGGCCAGCTTGACAGAATGCCCAGCGTGGGTGGAGCAGAGGCGTGACCTCGTGGTGGCCATTGGAGTGGGAGTCCTCTCGCGGAGCGAGACCGGGAGAGGTTTAGAACTCTCCCGGACCAGGTACCGCAGACGACTCGGGCGCCGGAGGTCGCAGAACGACCTCCGTCCTCCATAAGCGCAGGCCTGAGGGTGACAGGTGAGGCCATCTGTCACCCTAGCAGAAGCAGGCCGAGGTGGCGGCGAGACGCGATGCCGAGCGCGCGCGCCCTTTTGGGTGCACAAAGGAATCATGGGGGTTGCCACACAGGAGAGGGTCATCTAGACGCGGTGGATGGCCCGAGGTACGTCGGGGTACCAGGGATTTCTTTTCTAGGGTACACCTGGATCCCCGGCTACTGGTACCAGAGACGGCGTGCGGTTTTTGGTCGGTTCGAGTCCGACATAATCACCCCACCGGTGGGTGATATCTGAGGGGATTTCCGCACAGGAAAAACAAAAAATATATATTTTCTACATACCTTCCCATACAACACCTCTCTCTTTGTCTCTCATATAATGGATTTCATCAAAGACAACCCAACCAACTTCACGCATTATTTCAGATCCTCTATACAACATGTTCCTCAAAATCTAAAAAAGGAAACCAATTTTAAGATAAAGCCCAGGTAACTATAGTAGTTAACTATATATAACTTAAAAAAAAGCAAAATAAAAAAAAACACGAGATTTGTCTTTATGGTCTAGGGGGGCAAACAAGCAGACATGTCTGGTCAGGAAGAGACCACCATCTCCCATAAACACCTACAACTCAAGAGACACAAGTGCAATGCAGCCTTTGAAGTCCCTTTGATTCTTGATTTCTTTTAAAAGATAACTCCGGCATTAGGAATAAATCTTGTGTTGCAGTAGACTTTACAAACATATATGAAACGGACACAGAGAACATCCAGACTACGAACAACAATTTGTGGATCACACAAAGTGTTGTCCCATGCAAGGATCGAACCCACAACAATTGGCACAGGAGGTGACCGCTTAAACCACTACACCATCTGTGCAGTCAGTTTCTGGGGGGAAGAACTGAGTAATCTCACTCACTCTGTTAATAACATTTTCAGGTCCGACTTCTACACTTCTACGTTTTTAACAAATTTTTTTTTCCAGTTACATCATCATCATCATTACTGATAGAGTAAGTAACTATAACATTCTCCTGTCAGACGATTGTATTAAAAAAATTATGTTTATTGTAATAGGTTTAAACTTAGGCTGCAAATATATTATCTTTAGATAAAAAATTCAGTATAAAAAATTTAATATTACCTCAGTGGTCATGATAAGACAAGAAGCTGATGGATTAATAGTAACATCACCAGTAATGAGACCCACATCATGGAACTCCTCAGAGAACTCTCTGTACTTTTGATTTGACAGGGCTTTTATGGGAGTTGTGTATATGACTCTCTGCTTATTCTTCAATGATAATGCAATAGCATACCTGAAAATATAGATAATGTAGAGAAGAGAAAAAGAGTAAAAATGTGCCAAAAAAATAGGTCTGCACAATGTTAAAATTAAATCAAAACTAGTAATATCATCTACATATTTTATCAAGAAATTAGTTGGATGCAGAGCAGACCCGTTGTTGTGGAGAGCCTTTGGGGGAGGCAGTAAATGTCTTTTGCTTCAGATGATGATGATTTTGTCAACTTACATCATACTATCTCAAGATTACCACAAACATACAAATCTTACTTACAAAGTAGAGGCATGCTAAACTATTAGTTGAAAATCATAAACATTTATGATCTACCTACTAACATATGAAATGTTCCTCATTTTGTATTGATCTATAGGAAATTAACACGTTTTCTGTTTAAGTATTATACAATTTGTATACAATGATGGATTCCTTTTCTATTAACATATATGTATATATAATCATCATATCACATTTGGGTTTCTGAAGTAAGAAAGGGAAATTGAAGGAATGATAAATATTTTAGTCAGTTAGAAATAATCTTATAGTAATTTTTTTATTTTAAAATTAATTGATAAACAAAAATCTGCACTATTAAAAACTACCTATATTAACTCCTCATGTCCCGCTTAACAATGTACAGTGCTTACCGGTGAAAGCACTGTACAGTGCAGCGGCACAGCGGCAGCCGTTTTTTTTTTTTTAACATGAGCTTGGTTTAAAAACTTAAATTTAACTACAATTTTTTAACCTACAATTCTTGAGATTTCATTTTATATGTAGGAACTGTAATGTTCTGAAGTGAGACCTTACTCATGTTATATTCACATTAAGTCACATTTCAATTCCTTACACAATATTAATAGTCTGATGGAATAAAATACTACATTACTAAACATTAGCTCTGTGAGTGCAGACATTTGGATTCCATAATTTAGTAATTAAACTACAGTTTTATCTATAACAGTTATCATTAAGACACAGAGCTAATTCTACCAAGACCTATTTCTTACAGTTCCTTGTCTATGCCAGGTCATAGATGGGGGCAACACATGCAACTGACTTTTTGATGATATGTTTAGAGAGTACTCCTTGCGACGCGTCAGCACTTACCTCCACTGCCTGCTAACCAAACCATACGAGGCCAGTAACGCTACACACAGTATATTAAAAATATTATTAAGAACGTAAACCACTGCATGCAAGCAGCATAGAACTGTTTGTTGTGGCAAACTTTGGGGAGGCCTATTTCCAGCAGTGGAGGACTTAAGACTGAGACAATGATGATGATAATTTATGAAATAAATAACAAAACAGGTATTTCCTTCTGTAAAAAAAAAACAGCTTATAAGTACTTACTCAGCTACTACAGTTTTTCCAGCAGATGTATGAGCAGACACTAAAACAGACTGCAAATTGTCAATGCACAGTATAGCCTCCTTCTGAAACGGGTCCAATATGAAACTGTACTGTTTAGCAGGCTCTGATGTAAGTGGCATAAGTGGAGCATATTCATGGTTTGGTGGAATTGCAACTTCATGTGTACAGCCTTCATGTGTTTCCAACGTATGGATGACAATGCGAGAGTTAAGAAGATTTACACTAAAAACAGATTTACAGTTTGTTTTTTATTGTTCTACATTTAAATAGTTAGTGGACAATACCTATTAATGATAACTTACTTTATGTCGCTGGTTAGATCAGCTTCATCCTCCTCTTCATTTTTTGGCTTTTTAATGATTTGTGAATCAACAACTTCAACTTCTTCTTGAGTACGCTTTTTAGTGAGTACCTCAGACGATTCCGTAGAGTCTTCTCTATAATTAACAAACAAGTTTTATTATTGTTGATATATTATTGTTGTTGATAATTGTAGCTTAATGTAACATACATTACGTGCATTTTAACTTACACATTGTCTTCACTTTTCTTTTTTATATTCGGTAATTGAACTGAAGCTTCATTCACTGGCGATTCTTCAAAACAATCAAATAAAGTATTTATATCACCCATTTTACTTATTTTTACGCATATAATAAAAGATGTTTATTCTTTTGCTAACAAAAATAACCTGAAATAACCTAACTGTACACTAAATATAAATTACTCAAATACCAATGTTTTTGCCATAGACAATACAGATTAGACCAGAGAGTTTTTCCATTAAACATTTTTTTTTTTTATCATGTTGTTGACACAGTCTTTTATCACAATCATACAGCAGGTCTGACCCTTGTAAATATGATTCTTCTATTCTACTCTATCATTAGTCATCTCACTGTTTACTCCCTTCCTAGCCATATCCTCACTCACACAGTCCATCCACCTTTTCTTTGGTCTTCCTCTTCTCTTGTACCCCTCAACTCTCATACCTAATACTTTCTTCGCCACATTTTCCTCATCCCTCCGCATGACATGTCCATACCAAGATAACCTATTACTTCTTAACTTTTCATCCAGTGGCACTAGTACTAGTATATACTCATTCCTAACCTACGTTCAGGTGTCTCTCATCCGTTCTCTTAATGGGCCAACTTTCAGAACTATACTGGACGGCAGTTCTGATGATAGTTTTATAAATTTGTCCCTTCAGTGTTAAGGGGAAACTGGGGTCACAAATTGTTCCCGTTACCTGGCGCCACTTCACCCATTCCGTATTGATTCGATGCTGTACGGTCCGATCGATCTCACCTTCACATTGTAGGAGGGTACTTGAAATTGGAGCAGACTGTTGTCGCTTTCCCATCCGGTGAAATGATTTGAGGACTGCAGAGACCGCGAAAATCGCAGAACATGTACTTAGTTTTGGTGCTGCTGATTTTAAAGTCAACATTCTCCAGCCTTTGTTGCCATTTTTCCTGTCTGGTCTGGACCTCACTCCCGTCTTCACCGACCAACACAATATCATTTGCAAACAGCATACACCAAGGTGCCTCAGATTTCACATTAAAAGGAGTTGTTCAATAATGGTTCCTTATTCTTGAGAAATTCTAGTAGCTAGCTATGAACCAAATATTTTAGATAGAGTTCCTAAGAACAAAAAATATGAGTGATAAAATAAAATTATAAATTACTGCAATTTTGATAAAACATCGTTTCTACTTTGACATATTTTTAGGCCGAAAACAAACAAAACTTTTACTACCTTGAGTTTTTTGAAATCCTCCAATAAAAATATTAGGTCTTTACCTATGAAATTGCCTTTTTATATGCAATAAGTGAAAGTACTTATTTTTTCAAACTTTTTTATTTCTGTTATTCGAAGTAATCACCCATGCAAGCGACGCAACTGTGCCACCCCAGAATACGGTGGGCTAAACACTTCGCTTGGGTTAAGGGTAATTTATAATTGCCGCCGGGATCTTCCCGCGTCCAGTCGGGCGAGCGGGCAGAGGGGGCAGGCGGGCGCAGACGACCAAGCGCCCAACTACACAGTCAGTAGGATGCCGAGAAATGGAATGGCAGCCGGGAAATTCGGGGGATAGTGACGCATCGTCAATTTTCTCCGTCTCCTCGCGGTCGTACAAATGCCTCAAGCCATGGAGGCAAGTGCAAGCCAACGAGTCCAGCGGAGGAAAGCCGGCCCTTCAAGCTGCTACGACCAAGGAGAGGAGCAGTAAGCACCGGTAAGAGCGGAGTGACCAAAACGGAGACAGGGACGGAGACCGAGCGTGAAGTATCGGTAGGACCGTCCACTTCCCCGGCTACCTCAGTCCTACGCTGATGAAGTCGCGATAGGGTTAAAAGATCAACCTATTGCCTATGCAGACTCCAAAATCCAGGCGTCTCTGTCGGCGGTCTAGAAGGCTCTCCAGGGAATGAAGAGGGGCACCAGAAGAACTGCCGCCAAAGAGGCTATGACCGCGGTCCGTGTCGGTGTCTCGAAACTTGTTAACTTTTATAATATGGAACCACTATTATATATAGACAAGGCAATAACAACTCTATTAAAGCAGTTAGAAAGGGTTTTATTGTAGTTAAAATACAGTTAAGTAATATTTAAAGAATACGTAACGTATGTATGCAAGAAAAAAAACAGTTGATTAATTTCTAAACAGTCAAACGTAACTATAGTAACGACAGCCATAGATAAGTTGTAGGAAGATATGTAGTCTCTTCACACCCTCAGAACTTTTTAGAATTTTTAAATTCATTTAGACCAATTTTTTCCACTCAATTCTTTTAATCTTGGGCCAAAGAGCGGTTTGGTAAACATATCCGCCAGTTGTCTGACGGATGGTACTTGTTTCACTTCAAGATCACCGTTGTTTACACATTCACGCACAAACAGAGTGCTTCAACTTAATGTGCTTGGTCCGCCTATGGTTCTCATATTTAGGATTGTGTGAAAGCTTTAAAGCTGATTCATTTTCTAGATAGAGCACAGGTTTTTGTAAGTTGGCCAAGTCTTTTAATAGGCTGTTCAGCCACAAAATTTCTTGTGTAGTTTCACTGATTGATTATAGATAGATAACTCTTTATTGTACAAAAAACATAGCAAAAAAAGAAGAAATCAGATTGTATACATTGGTGTGTCTTATATCTAAAGTTTAATAAATGAAACATGGAGATTATCTCCGATTTAAAAAAAAAGACAAAATATGTTCTAACTGCTGGACAAAAAACAAAGAAAAGAAGTCCTATACTAACAAAAAACTATCACTACTGAAGAGTGTCTTTTGACTTCGAACCGTCACAACGAGGATGATTGGGTACTTGATAGCGGCTGCACCTCTCATATGACGCCACATCAAGAGTATTTTAAAGAGATGAAAACTGTCTCAAGAAAGCTCAACTTTGCATCAGAAGCACACTCTACTGAAATAATGGGTGAAGGCAGAGTTACGCTGAACAATAGGGAGAATACACCTAGAAAACACGTTATTTGTACCCACACTTTCTACAAATCTACTTTCAGCACCGAGTATTACCAGTCATGGTGCTTCAGTAGAGTTTAATAAAGACAAAGCAGTCATACGCAATAAAACGGGAACGTTGCTAATGACCGCAACAAAGTCAAATGGCCTTTATTATGTCAGATCGCTGAACATTGAATGAAGCTTTGCGGCCACCCCCGCAAAAATTTCAACAAACATGAAACGAGGCGCAATATTTGACTGGCACAGAAAGCTTGGACATATGAACAACCAAGACCTCCACCTAGCTCTCCATAATGAAAAATTGATTGGATTAAACTTCAATAAAAATGAGACTGTTAGATTGCGAAACGTGCATACAATCGAAAATAACTCAGAGTGACAAGCCCTCCCCAACGGATTACTCCTAGAACTACTGAACGTCTAGAGATTGTGCATAGCGATGTATGTACACGGGTCCAATCAGTACACTTTCTGACGCAAAAAATAGACACTTCGTCACCTTCATTGACGATTACAGTAGGTACGGGCTGATTTACCTCATAAAAAACAAATCTGAAGTACTAGACAAGTTCAATGAGTATAAACAATAAATGGAAAAGTTTACTGGTAACAAAATTAAGCATTTGCAAATGGACAATGGCACAGAATATGTCAGCGCCAAATTTCAAGCCTATCTTAAGGAACACGGGATTGCGCGACGCTGATATCGCTGAACGAAAAAATCGGACACTAGTGGAGAAAGCTGGAGCTATGCTTATTAATGCGAAAGCACCGATGCTCCTATGGGCAGAAGCAGTTAATACTGCAAACTACTTATCGAATATGTCTGTAAACAGTGCTATTGGTAACAAAACACCATTCGAGAAATGGGTCTTAAGAAAGCCTTGCGTTAATCATCTCGCTCCTTTCGGATCCAAAGCCTTCGTACTGAAGAAAGGACCGAGAGACAATAAGTTTGCTCCTAAGACAATACCAGGAATGTTTATTGGATACTCAAGCATCAGCAAAGCATATAGGGTTTATGGTCCTTCCAAACGTAAAAGTCTTATTTTCAGGGACCAAAACCTCCTTTCTAAGGAGAGGCTTATGTCCAGCAGTGGACTATTAAAGGCTGTTGATGATGATGAAGAGTTGTAACGGGAAATTACTACTCAAACCCTAATGACAATGTTAACAACTTTTCATACAATGAAAACAAGCATTGTGATTCGGCTACAGAAATGAAGAAAACGCAAGTAGATATTGATGACGCTGACAACTCTCAACAAAACGACATTACTAAAAACGTTGTAAATGCAGATTCTACTCAGCACTGTGATAACGATCAAGAAGCTGATAGTGATAGCACGGTACTATTATAATACAGTACTCCAACTTCATACAAACGGACGAAACGCGAGCTATACCTACGCGCCTCGATCTCGGGGTGCGCTCGGGGCGCAGACAGTCACGGCTGTACCGCAGTGTCGAACGGACTGTGTGTTGTTTTTTTAACAATAACCGCGCGATTTTTTTTTTCTCTAAAAATCAGTTAATATGACGAGTAGGAAATATTGTGCTGTTTTTGGTTGTATGAATTCGTCAATAACGCATCCAGACATAAGTTTTTTTAAATTACCTGGAAACTCTGAAAGGTAAGACTATAAAATAATTTTACTTACTAGTAGGTAGGTACATAATGTGTGTCTTTTTAATGGATAAGTATTTCCTTTTATCTCACGAAAAAAAAGGTGTTTGGATGAATAAATAAAGCAAATAGAGTAACGGAAAGTTATTGAGACGAGTGAAATAGGGAGTTATATGCGGTTCTGAATGAATCATGATACGGTAGGTACCTACCTACTTACGCTTGTGTTAAAACTTCGGTGCATGTGTGATTTGTTACTTTGCATAATTCAAAGTAAAGACGTGGTATTTTATTATTAATAATATTGGTTTATTATCTGTGTGTATGAATAATACTAAAAAAAAATTTTTACCGTCTGTGTGTCATTAGACAGTTTTCGAAATTTTCACAAAGTGTTTCTGCTGCTACTATAACCACATATAAAACTAAAATCTGGTTTTATTTTCTCGTTATTAACAACAACAGCTAGAGCTAGGTTGTGATTTTAAAACATTCGTAGTCAGCTG